GTGTAAGACTTGCAATACCATAGGTAGCTGTGATTGGTGAGTCAGCCATCTGCGACTACTGAGAATTGAGCAGCATCTTTACTTTCAAAACAGCAAAAGCTTCACATGTAAAAGCTTAACATTTGGGGTCTATTTTAAAAAAAAAATAGAGACAGCGAAGCAGTTCCAGCCATCATACTGGAGATGAGTTAATTGACTGTTTGACCAAATATAGCAGGCTAACATTTATATGACATTTTTATTTATATAAAGTGAATAAATTTTGTGTATTTCACAATACAGTATTAGAAGCATAACGATGCTTCCCACCCTCCCCTCACTTCCCACAACAGGCTAAGGAACTGCATCATGAAAAAAAGACAAACTTTTTAAAAATAAGTTAAAAAATAAAACAAAGACAAAAACCACTGTTCTGTATTCGTCACAAGTCTCAAGATGCTAAAAGTTAAGCAACAACTGTTTTCAACCACACAAAATGTAGTTGCTGGCTGAATCTTGTTACTGCAGAGGCATTGAGTAAACAAGAAAAGCCTGGAAAGAGGTATGAGACTTGGGTGGTGATAATATATCTATTTTAACTTCCTGATTTCCATGATAGTGTTGTGGTAATGGAGAATGTCCTTGTGTGTTAAAAGTACACCTCATGGCTTTGCAGGCTAATGGAACAAATCAGTAAATAACTCTCAAGGGGTTGGGAAAAAAAAAGGAATGTGTGCTGTTCATTCAACTTTCTTGTAACTTTGAGGGCTTTTTTTTCTGATTAAGTATAATAATAGTCACACAATAATATCTCATTGCTTAAAGCCTTTCTATGCCTTAATAATGCTGTTAGAAAAAAGATCAAAACCCTAAGAATAAACTCTCAGGCTCTTTATGCTCTTATCCCCATCTGCTTTTTCAGTCTTTGTTGACTGTCTTCCTTCAGCTGTTGCTAACATTTCTTTCATTTCTTGACTGCTAATGCTTTTTTGAAATGTAAGTCCATGGATGTACTATGCCCTCTGGTTAGAAGATACTCTAACATACATGACCATGTACATCAAGTGTATCTTCTGATCTCAAGATCTTTTCCTAAACCTTTGCCCCCAGGAGTAGTCCGTTTCCTATTATTAATTCTCACAGCACCATGTAGTTCCTCTTTGTGCTTACAGATTAGTTACAGCCATTGACTAATGTGCCTTCCGTGACCCTATTTCTTGAGGACAGAACACCTTGATGTGCCAAGGTCCTGCCAAGGACGTAGACCAAGGAAGAGTAAACAGTTTTTAAGAAAAAGCTGTTTAGAGTGAACCAATATAACTGTGCCCTGACTCTGGCCCTCTCTTCTAGACCTGCAGCTTCTTGTGCTGGGGCAAGGAGGGAAGTGATACTAACCATGGTGAGAACCTGTTCCAATCCATCCAAACCTAAAGCACCTCCTCTCACATTCCCAGTGAAACAGTTAAATATACCTTGATAATGATTCTAGATTTTCTATACCTTTGCCTGTACCTGCAATGTTATGATGCATTTAAACAGCAAAGTGGTTTTTAAATTATTATTTTATTTTGATAATCTTTACATAGTTAATTAGGACGCAAAGGGTCAAGGGCTATAGGAAAGTGGGTAAGACCTTTGTTTCCACACTCCTTTTTGTTTGTTTGTTTGTTTGTTTCCTGTATCTGGACTAAGAGGGAAGATAAAGAGAGAAGCCTGACCCAGCCTCCCACCCATCCCAGGGTCCCCCACCTGGGGCATGCTCCAAAGCCACTGCTGAAGTGGTTTTGAGAATTCAACAGTTTTGAATTGCTGCAAATCTCGCCATACCAAGTACAATGAAATCTCTCCAGAATCCACTGGCTGACATAGTCCACCTTAGAGTCTCTGTTTGCCCAGATTTTCACTGTCAGCACAAGGCTGGGAGAGATGATCAATTTGTTCTGTCCTCCGTCTTCTATTGTGATACGAGGTGTCCTCTGCAGGTCCCAACGGACTGCCATATTCTCCATGTGCACCTGTAGGATGGAGCTGTCCACTGCTCCATCTGAGCCTCTGAGGAGGCTCAGCTTTGACACATGCACTTCATAGTCAGACCATGAAACCTGCACTTCTCTTCATGGTTGGGGTTCTGAGATCAGCAGTTCAGTTGGAGGGATCCCCAAAGAAACTTTGCCTGAGGTGACCCCAGACCTGATTCTTGTGTGTGCATGTCAGTACAGGGTCCAGAAATAGCTAAGTGTTAAACTTGCAACTGCTACTGCAAGCCTGTAGGATTCTATTAATACATGGGAAAATGGAGAACGAGAAAGGGAAAGGGAAAGGGGGGAATCCCTAAACCGACAAAACTGAATCATGGAAAATATGACAATAAAAAAAAAACAAAAACAAAAGACTACGTCCTCTCTTGAATCCATGTTCTCTTCCGGTTACATCCCAGTTTTCCAGCTTCTCCTCTCATCTGAACTTTAAACAGTGCTAATGTACCTGTTCCATTTCCTCAGTTCCCATGAAATTTCATCCCACTGCCATCGGACCTTCAGCCTTATCGTCCCCAAAATTTGTGCTCGCAAGATGCCTGTAACTTTCATAAAACCCATAAAAGTAATAAGCTTTAGTATTTTACATCAATTACATCAATTCCTCAGTGTGCAGCTCTTGCTATACTTTGTTGATCACCTTTTAATCCCTGTATATATTTTTAATCCCTATATGAGCTCTTATTTCATTCCATACTTCCAACTGATTTTTTTCTTCAAAAAATACTTAGTATCTAGCAAATACCATGAATAGCTGGGGAAACAACAGCAATTAAGCAAATATCCCTGTCTTCATGGAGTTTATATTCCTGCTCTTAGAATTCTCCCAGTTGTCTCCTTGGCCCACAATTTTCCTTATTCTGCACATTTTCTTATGGTGATTTCATTCATTCCAGGGGTCCAGCTGCTGGTTTATTTGCAATTTCCTCATTTCCCCCCTAGTTTTAGATTTCCCAGGACTTTCATTCTGGTTATTCTCACACAGACGTAATCTAGGAATTTCTGAACTAGATATGTGCAAAAATCCTTTTATCTTTTCAGCTCTTCATGTAGCAGCATTCAAGCACCTGATCCAGCATTTAACCCTACTGCTTCTTGGCCTTTGTGCTGGAATCAAGCACAGCAGTTCACTTTCAATCCTTCCTTTACCTTATCTCTACTATCCAATCACCATGACTGCTTATATTTGTCTTATTTCTGTGTAACAGTCTCTTATCTGCTCTCCCTTTCTCTGCCCTTGCCCCATTTTCTATCCCCTTTGCAACAGCCACCAGAATGATCTAATGGTTATACAATCTCAGCCCTTGGTAAAAGCTTTCGAATGCTCTCTCATCACTCAAAAATTAACATCCACAGCTTCACCATGGGGTAAAGCCCTGTGTAATGGGGCCCTTTCCTCATTGTCCACTTTAAGGCACAACAGACTTCTAAAGATGTACATTCCCTAAGGAAGATCACCTGGGCGAGGACGCTGTGGAGGGAAAGGACCAGGATGGTTCTTAGTGAGGACATTCAGCTGGTGACCACAGAATTCCCATGGCAACGCCTCAACCCTGACCAGAGAGCTTCAGACAAAGAAGTTGAGAACTTAAGAAACTTCATTCATTCCAAACAATCATGTTGGAAAGACAACAAAGTTGAGATCGATCAGACGTTTACCTCAGGAAAGTTTTTTTTTAGGTGTTCAGAGAGATGATGACTTCATGACTCATAAAAAAAATTCATTGGCAGCAGAGATTCTCATGTCAGACAAGATGCAGGAAATAAGGCTATGAAACATAGACTCAGGTTAATGTTTTACTCCCAAGTGGCTGACCTATAGAAATTTCAAATGGAAAGAAAACATACAAATTTTATTACATTGAAAAGACAATGAACAAAATTTCCTCAGTTTCTCCACTTCCAAGAATTCTTGCTACTGTCCAAACATACCTAATAAACACGGGAGTAATATTTTTTTTCAAAAAGTTGAGGTTCCTAGTGTGGCAAGGGTTAATATCCTAGCATTTGGAGCCAGTCTGCTTAGGTTGGAATACCAGCTCTGTCACTTGGAAGGAACCTCAGCTTCCTCAACTGTGAAATGAGTACAATAGCTGCTATCTTTCAAGATTATTTGGATGGTTGAGTCAACACAAATGTGCTTAAATCATTTCCGGGTACATATTCATTACTGTTCTATTCAGGTTGCTTCTAATATTTCTGCCTTGGCTTGTTCTTATTCTTTCCAAACTATAGGAGGTATTGGCTTATCAATAGAGTCTACAGAGCCGTTGAATTTTTTATACCTGACATTTGATTTGCTACCTTTTTTTTTTTTCATATAGTTAACGTCTCAAGCAACTATCTTCTTAATCATGAGGTCTTCTCTGTTCATGCTGTGGTTGAAGTTCCTTTGATGTTTATGTTGCTGTGGGTCAAAAGTATAGTTCTGGAAAACAAAACTACGTAGTTTTGGAACCAGATAGAGGACTGTGGCTGAGTACCGGCAAGTATTGAATCATGTTCAAGTGTTTGGTACACTCGCATTAAATTGTGCGCTTTTATTCTTCAGTAGGCGCTACCACTTCAAGCAAGCACCCTTTCCTCTGGCCACTTTTACCCCTGCCGGCCGCCACCACCCATCAACCAGGTAAATTCCCTTCAGCTGGTTCTCTACCAGCCCATCTCCCCTTTAAGAAGAGGGCGTCGCAGACACGGCCCCCCACCTCCGGGTTTCCCGGTCACCCGGGCAACGGAGCCAGGAAGGGGCGGGGCTCGTCGGCCTCGGTTCCGCCGACCTGCCGCGTTCCTGCGGGGGCGTAGAGGGGCCGGACAGGCTGTGCCCTTCAGCTCGCGGTCGGAACCGGACCCGGAGCAGGATCCGGATCCCGCACGGATGGCCACGTCAACCTAAGCCACGCCGCCGCCCGCGTCGCCCGCCCCGGGCCTGCGGCCTTTCCCCCGGCCGCGGCGTCCCTCCGCCTTTCCCACAGTGCCTCGCGCCAGGCCCCGCCCCGGCTCCCCGCGGAGACCGGCGCGCCTGGAGCGGAGCCGGCCAAGCGCTCTCGGCTGCCGGTGCCACTCGGCTTCCTCCCCGAACCCGGGCGCGGCGGCGGGCCGGGCCCCGAGTGCCTGCTCCCCACGCCCCCCGCACCCTTCTGGGCTCGGCTGGGCGTAGTGGGCCGCTGGAATTGAGGATGAGTAGCTGCTGGAGGCAACTTGGAGGTGGGCACGGGCCGGGGTCCTGGGCCCTCCGGGAGGGGAGGAGCGAGATGCCCGCGCTCCGAGACTCCGTCCTCCGCGTCCTCCCCGTCCTTCCCATGGCTACCCCGGGCGTCTGGGCGCTCCTTGCATCCTCCCGGTTTCCTCACTGCGCCCTTCCTCTACCCAGCCTCCCCACTGCCACTGACTCCTGCTTCGCACTTGCTCAGGCTGCCTTAGCTGCACCTGGGGCTCCAGTCAGCAGCCCTCTTGGCCGGTGTGTCCCCCTGCTCGCCCCGGGGGCCCCCCGTCTTTCCCCCCTCGGGCTGGGGCGGGAGGGCAGCATCCCAGAGCTTGCGGAGCCTTCACCTGCCGCACCTGTGCTGCCTGCAGCCCGGGGCCCATGGCCACGCCGCCACGCCCACACTCACCCGTGGGCGAGGGCAGCCTCACCCCGACGTGGGGAGTCCCAAGTGGGGTTTGTTTGCCAGTCGGGGTGTTTGTTCAACGCTGTCAATATATTTTACAAAGATCTGTGTTTAAGAGACGGTAAGGGGGATTAGAAATGAGAAAGCCTGTTCAAAAAGTAAAGAGACATTCTAAAGTGGACAGGTAGGAAGGATTAAGTGAAGAAAGAAGAGACTGGCGGATGCTGGGGAACTTAGATTCTTGAGTTTTGTGAAAACTTTGCAGCTAAGTGTTTGGATAGGATGTGGAGTGATTATTTTTGCCCTAGACAGGTGAACATATCTGCGTAACTGCTTTTCTTCTTTACTGTTTGTTTTTCCATTTGTTAAAGGGGGCTTAGACTGCAGCCCCCCTTTGCTGCATTCAAACTTTGCAGTAAAATTACACTGTTAATTTTCGATTTTTTTTATCGTAGTGTTTTTACACATCAGCCTCTATCCAAATTTACTTTAGGCAGTTCACCTAAGAATACTCGGGTAGAACAGAGCCGCTGTCAGAGTGTAGCTGCGCTTTGATGAAACGGATAGGGCCTTGGAAAGGACACTGCTTCTAGTCCCCTCAGAGGTCGTTTCCTACAAGTGAAATCTGATTGAAATGAAAGCTGGACAGCCTGAAGGGCTAAAGAACTAAAGCAGAAAGGGGCTTATTAAAAAACAGCACTACCTTAAGAAAAAACGGGAGAGAAGTGAAGTTTCTACCCTGTGTTATTGCTGGTAAGAAGCTCCTTGTATAAATCGCTGAGTGTGTATTTAACTGTTGTAGCTTGCCATACTCAGTGTCTTTTGTGTTGGCTTGAGTGATTCCACAAATCTGGATGCTTGAACACCAGGGTGGCAAGGAAGTCCCCCCCCCCCCAACAAATAGAGCCTGAGGCATTTCCAGTGCTCTACCACTTACTGAGATGTTACTTTTGCTGACCAAGTTACCTGATAAATTAAAATGTATCGCCGTTTAATGTGAAATGAATTTTAACTGGTTGCTTTCTTCCCTTTAGAGTAACAATTTGGAGCCAGTTTTACAAGGGCTGATTCATTTTTGAAGTAATGCCGGCAGAAGTTCTCATCAACTGGAAGCGGCAGTGGATCTTAAGGTTCACCTAAGTCGTAGCTTGTATTAACAAGGAGAATGGGAGTCTGGTTAAATAAAGATGCCGATATCCGAGACATGAAGAGGATCTGTCTCTGTTTTCTGATCGTGTGTCTGGCCGTTTTAGTAGGCACCGATCAGGATTTTTACAGTTTACTGGGAGTGTCTAAAACCGCAAGCAGCAGAGAAATCAGACAAGCTTTCAAGAAGTTGGCATTGAAATTACATCCTGATAAAAATCCAGTAGGTGAAAGTTTTTAAATACCTATTTATTGTATTTCAATATGTTTAGTTATTTTCTTAATTATTTAAAGGAAATGTTCAAAATGCCTAAGAACAATTCTGCGTTAAAAACTAAGTCGCTTGCTATGCTAAAATAGGAAAAAGCAAAGCAGTTCTGGTTTAAAACTGCATGATGAAATCGGTAAAACAAATGCCGTCCACAATTTATAAACCAGCTTCTAACAGTTACATTAAAAACACTAATTTCAGACCAACAGTGTAAGTTATTTGAAGTCATTTTCTTAGCCAAGTGAGTTAAGGTCATTTGTTTTAGTTCTGGGGTCCCGTTCACATAGCAGTGAAGATGGTGCTTACCCTCACGTCCCTTATTGGGGTTCTGGGGTTCCCCACCCCTGATGCCAGCCTTGTAGGTGTGCCCATGAACAGCAGCAAGGGATGGCAGCCGTGATCAGATCTCGACCACTCCCCTGACCGCTTGGTCCACCCCACCCTGCAGGTGGGAGTGTTCGCTCCCCAGAGCGACCCCCTGTGTCACTCTCTGCCTTTCAAATAGATAGAATCTTTAAAATAGTAGCAGAAATATTTCCTTAGAATTGAGGATATCTCGTACTAAAAATAGCAATAATAGCTAGTAACACACCTTAAAATTCTCTGTTTTCTGTGTGCACATCCCCACCGACCAAAAGTTTTAAAGAACTCTGAGAACTTCCAAATATAATTATAGTATTGTGATTAAATATCCAGAAATCATCTAAAATTGAATTCATCTTGATTTTCATGGCTTTCTTATACGTTACCTGATTAATTCCTAGTAAAATTTAGTCTTCCTCTTAGGAAAAAGACAATGTTTTCTTGAGAGAACTTTTGAATAGGATTATGTCACTTGTGTGAAACTAAATAGTAGAAATGATACTTTTCATAAGTTCTAGTCAATTTCCTGGGCTTTATATTTTATTTTTATTGTTTTCAAATTTGTCTCACATGTCTGAATATGATTTTTTTTTTTTAAGATTTATTTTTATTATTTTTTATTGGAAAGGCAGATATACAGAGAGGAGAGACAGAGAGGAAGATCTTCCGTCCGATGATTCACTCCCCAAGTGAGCGCAACGGGGCAACGGGCCGATACTATGCCGATCCGAAGCCAGGAGGCTCTTCCGGGTCTCCCATGCGGGTGCAGGTTCCCAAAGCTTTGGGCAGTCCTCGACTGCTTTCCCAGGCCACAGGCAGGGAGCTGGAAGGGAAGCAGGGCTGCCGGGATTAGAACCGGCGCCCATATGGGATCCCGGGCGTGCAAGGCGAGGACTTAACCACTTGCGCCACCGCGCCGGGCCCTGAATATGATTTTTAACTTTAAATAGCAAAGTACATCTTTTTTTTTTCTTTAATTGGGGGATTTCACTGACTTACTTGAAAGGAAGAATGACAGAGAAGGGAAGAGACAGTCCCCTGTTTTACTCCCCAGATGGCTTCAGCAGCCCCAGCTGGGCCAGGCTGAGTCCAAGAGCCTGAAACTCCATCCTATTTGGGTCAGATGCCCAAATGCTTCGGCCTTTGTTCTCCACTTTCCCAGGTGCATTAGCAGAGAATTAGATCAGCCAGTAGGGCCCAGAGCAGTAGCCTAGCGGCTAAAGTCCTTGCCTTGAATGTGCCGGGATCCCATATGGGCACCGGTTCTAATCCCGGCAGCTCCACTTCCCATCCAGCTCCCTGCTTGTGGCCTGGAAAAGCAGTTGAGGATGGCCCAAAGCCTTGGGACCCTGCGCCCCTGTGGGAGACTCGGAAGAGGTTCCTGGCTCCTGGCTTTGGATCAGCGCAGCACCGGCTCTTGCGGCTCACTTGGGGAGTGAATCATCGGACGGAAGATCTTCCCTTCTGTCTCTCCTTCTCTCTGTATATCTGACTTTGTAATAAAAAATACATAAATCTTAAAAAAAAAAAAGATCAGCCAGTATACCAGTTGACACCTGGGGCATTGCATGCAGCGGCTTAACCCACTGCACCACAACTCCATGCCCTCCCAGGATGTCTAAATGAAAAGCACTCTTTGAAAACCTGTTCTGTGAAATAGTAATAAAAAAGAAGCATTCCCATTGCAATTTTGAATTTTTACTCTGATTCATATTTAATTCTTTCCTTAGACTGCCTCAAATAGAGTAAGATACATATTTTAAGTATAATTATTTGTGTGCAACAAATATTTACAAAATTGAAGAATCCAAGGGAGTTGTCAGATTTTTTTTCACTCAGCTGCATTTCTTAGGAAGGAGTAAAGTTGTTTGACTAAATCAGACAATCTTTTTAAAGTGTCAGTTTCTTTTAGGATTTTTTGTTTGTTTTGTGATTTTTTGTTTTATTTTATTTTATTTTATTATTTTATTTATTTATTTATTTATTTTTGCTTCAAAGGTGGATTTACAGAGATAAGGAAAAACAGAGCTCTTGATCCGGGGGTTTACTCCCCAAATGGCTGCAGTGGCCAAAGCTGAGCCAATCCAAAGCCAAAAGCGAGGAGCTTTTTCCTTGTTTCCCACATGGTTGCAGGGTGCCAAGGCTTAGGGTCATCCTCTGCTGCCTTCGCAGGCCGCGAGCAGGGAGCTGGGACTGGAACCAGTGCCCTACAGGTTGAGGATCAGCCTGGTGAACAACTGTTTCTGACCCCCTGTGTCAATTCTTATTTCTCTTCCTTTCGTCATCTTTGTTTGAAAATTGTAGTTCCTCAGACAGTCTTACTTTATTTCAACTCAAGCTGATACCACGTTGTACCTCGTCAGGTTGATATGCAGTTACAGAAATCTCTCCATTTGTGGGATCTGTACGGGAGCTCTGAAATCGCGTGGGTTGTTCCTAAGCTGTCATTTCTGCCATCTCTAATGTTTTCTTACAGAATAACCCAAATGCACATGGTGACTTTTTAAGAATAAATAGAGCGTATGAAGTACTCAAAGATGAAGATCTGCGAAAAAAGTATGACAAGTATGGAGAAAAGGGACTTGAAGAGAATCAAGGTGGCCAGTATGAAAGCTGGAACTATTATCGTTATGATTTTGGTAAAGTGATTTATTACTTATGAAATTTTTTTATCGAGGTGAAAGTTTTATTTCACTCCTACCTGTGTTATCTGTCACCTTGTTTAGCTCTTTTTAATTTACCATAGGTGTCAAATTTAGAAGGAAAGTCTGTCGATTGTAATGAAGTTATGTGTACAGAAGGGAAGACGTATTGGTGAAATCTTGCTGATTGAAGGGTTATTGTTTAATTTAAAAAATGCATGCATTGGAAGAAGTTAAATGCTCAAGTCTTTGAAAAATGTTGAGTGTCTCATTTACCAAGAAAGACTAAATTTTCCCTTCATACTGGTCGCTGAAATAGAAAAGCCATCCTTCTAATGTAGGACCCTTATTGATAATGGCTGAAGGTGTTGATAAGAAGAAAAAATAAGGCAAGAGTAGAGGAAGGAAACTAGCGGAAGGTGGAGAGAAGGTAAACACAGGAGGCAGGCAGAGGCTGTGTTCAGATAAGCACTGATCTCCAAGTCGGTGTCGGCCTCAGCTGCACAGAAGGAATTGAAATATACCCTTCGTTTTAGACTAAGAGATCTTCAGTATTTTATCTGGAGAGTTTGCTTCCCAATCTGGTTTTACTGTCAAAAGAATGTTTTGATATGTTGTCCATACAACACCTGGTTGTTTTTTCAGGTGTTGGCAAATTGCATTGTGCTGACCAGATCTGGCTTGCAGTCTGTTTTCATAAATAATACTTTATTGGAATACGGTTGTGTTCATTTGTTTGCTGTTAGCGACTCCATTCACACTGCACAGTGTTGAGTAGTTGTGATGGAACTCTGTTGTACGAAGCCTAAATTCTTTACTGCTGGCCTCTGCAGAACTTTACTGATTTCTGAGTAACATTCATTGTTAACATGATTTGGCTACTTTGTATAGTAATGGGAAATTTTCTCATTGACTAAATAAGTTTATATTTCCTAAATTTTTGTCTTTATCTCTGCAAAAGTTAACAATAAAAGCTTAGTGGAAAATACTTGAAAGTGATACCACTATTAAAATCAGCAAACTGAATAAGGTCTGTTGTATAGTTAATAATATACTCTGATTTGCAACTGTTCCCTGGTGTTGATACTATATTACAGCTACATAACTAGATACTGATAGGGGAAGCTGGGTGAAGTGAACATAAGCAGGATACATCCTGTTCATGCAACTTCCTGTGAGTCTATAAAGTAAAGTTAAAAATGAATTTTCTGTAGAGATGACATTATGTGAATAATAGAAACCCTCTCACACACCTACCTGTAACAGTCCAAGTGAGGAAACTAGTACCCCTAGCTCACTCTTCAGAGGTGTCAGCAGTAAGTAGATTGAGGTTTTTTTAATCTGCACGTTCAAGATTTAGTGTAGACATATCTAATTTTTTTTCACAATTAAAACAAGGGACTAAATCTGTTTTTATGTGGTAATATATTTTATGGTGAAATTTTAATTATGTAATTTTTGTGTACTTTTTAAATTAGGTATTTATGATGATGATCCTGAAATCATAACATTAGAAAGAAGAGAATTTGGTAAGTTTGCAAATGTATTATTTTCTAAAACTTGGACAAGTTCAGTCTCTTCACTAAAACTCATGCGTTTTTAATGTGTTTGTGATAGAAACTCTTCAGATGTTAAAAGTTAATGTGATGAATACAGGAGATTAAGTAAATTCGTGGTAAGTTATGGAACAATGTCCCATGATAAAAACGTTAATCTTTAGCAAAGTGTATGCCATTTATAAAAAACGTTATTTAGTCGTATATAAGTTCATGATAGGTTTGGTGTATATTCTTTTTTTCATAGCACATTACTACAGACTGGGTAAATTGAAACAACAACGAAAGTCTAGCTAATGCTTCTGGTGCTTGATGGAGGAGCTGCATCTTGTAACAGCCTTTTTGCTGGCAGAGTTCCCAGCTGTCACAGTGCATCGCATGGCCAGGGAGCACCTGTGTCTCCCTGTGTTACAGAGCCACCAGAATTCAGTGACAGAGACTGTGTTCTGTGGCTTCAGCTATCCCGAATCATTACTCCAAAGACTCTAAATACCACACTTGGAGCCAGTTTCCACCCTCTTTCTACCTCACAGTGGAGGTTAGATTTTAACATGAATTTTGCAGGGCATAAAACAGGCTCAAGTAGACGCTAAGCTTGCTTGCTACAGACTTGTGGGAAAAAAAAATCCAGCCTTTTGATTTCACTTCTGAATAGTTACTTTGGAAGGATAAAACTTGAACAGCATACCAGTTGCAAAATATACATGTAGCAGTACTTACATGCTTAGCATTTGTTATCCTGAGAGATGAACAGCAACCGCTGAATTTCTTGCTGTTCTTTCTGAAGGATTTCCTTTTATTATTTTCTTCATTTGGTGAGCTCAGGCATACAAAGTAGCTATTAAGTGAGTTACTTTATTACAGATCCCGCATGTCAACACTTATATTTTCTGTCTATTTAGAATTTGTCTTCCTACAAACGGAAAGAAAAAAAATTCATTTGAATTGTTATGGAGTTATATATATATTTTTAAAAGATTTATTTATTTTTATTGCAAAGTCAGATATATGGAGAGGATGGTACTGCGCCGATCCGAAGCCGGGAACCAGGAACCTCTTCTGGGTCTCCCACAGGGGTGCAGGGTCCCAAAGCTTTGGGCCATCCTTGACTGCTTTCCCAGGCCACAAGCAGGGAGCTGGATGGGAAGTGGAGCTGCCAGGATTAGAACCAGCGCCAATATGGGATCCCGGCGCATTCAAGGCGAAGACTTTAGCCACTAGGCCACTGCACCTGGCCCCATTATGGAGTTATAGTTAAAGTTACGTATGTTCTCTTCCTCTTGCAAAGAATTGTGTTTTCTGGCTAGGACCTCCAACTGTTTGAAATAAAGATCATCAATCAAAGAAATGTTTGATAATCTAATGGTAGGACCTTGAGAGGACTTGTCACTTTCCAGTTTGGCCCTTCTATAGATGTGCCTTGAAGTCCCCTTTTGTCCTTATGGCTCAGGGGTCTGTTGAAAAGTGTTTGTCAACTACCTCTCCTGGAAAGGCAAACACTGATCCTCTGGTTCTCAGCATGTCCTGTAGCTTACACCTCTAGTGCTTCGCTGCATTGTAACTCATGCTTTCAGTGGAGGTCTCTTCTCATTTATGTCATTTTCTACCTATTCAATTTGTAGTTAGATATTTACCCCAAATTACATAGCAATTCACTTTTTTTTTCCAAATCGCCACTTTAGATTGTTAGAAATATTTCCTTTTTTATTGCACAATACATTTTTATAGGTGTAAGGCTTCATCTCTTCCCTCACCTACCTCCTTTGCCATTTCCCCCATCTTATCACTATTGTGTAGTCCCGTTTAACGTTCTGACGTTTAAATGTATCATGATGTGATAAGAACTAGCGAAGGTAGAAAAACTAATAGTACAGTGTAGAGATATATTTATTTGCAGGTTTTATTGAGAGTTCTCCTTTTACTCAGGAGTAGAATCGTACAAGAAGTTCTCTGTCAAAACAGAACATTGTTTCAGTGCAAAACAGAAAATGGCATATTTAAGGCTTTTAAAATTTTCTCATGCTTTCCATTAACAACACAGTACATAAGTACATTCCTTTTTTGTTTTTTAACATCTCAGTGCAGTTATACAAGCATACGCCAAGATCATGATGGAAGATAGAATTATCAATTTATTTGGGGCAAAAAATTATTTGAAATTCATGCATCTTAGGAAACCTTTGAAAGGTTTAAGAAAAGCCTGTGCATGGTTTTCAGTCATAATAAACAAGTTCTGGATAGTTTTTGCAAAAGTACAGAACATGTCACACGTGTACTAGTGATTCTGAATACTCAGACATCTTCTGGAAGACAGGTCTCGAACCAGCTGTCACTTACTTCAAGCACCTAGATTTGTCTGTCAGATTCTAAACATTAGAACAGCAAATAAAATCTTAAACTGTACATTACAGGTATATAAATGAACAGTTTCCATCAAACTGTCTTATAACTGAAATTTAGATGAATGTCAAATCCTGAGTGTTTCTGTTAGCCTGCATTAACTGCATGTATTTAGAAAAGTATGCACTGCAGCCCAGCGTGATGACTTGGCAGCTAAATCCTTGCCTTGCATGCACTGAGATCCCACATGGGTGCTGACTCATGTCCCGCTCTTCCACTTCCCATCCAGCTCCCTGCCTGTGGCCTGGGGAAGCAGTAGTGGATGGACCAAAGCCTTGGGACCCTGCAGCCCTCTAGGAGACCTGGAAGAAGCCCCTAGCTCCTGGCTTGGGATTGGCTCAGCTCCAGCCATTACAGCCACTTAGGGAGTGAACCAGTGAACAGAAGATCTTTCTCTCTGTGCCTCCTTCTCTCTGTAAATCTGTCTTTCAAATAAAATATGTATTTTTTTTAAAAGTATTCACTTAAAGTATTGTTTGATGCCTTAGTATAATTTATGAAAAAAACTTTAAATTACTAGTAGCTGATTTGGGATTGGGATTCTTGAACTGAAAGCAGGTGATCCTCACCTTTTTATCTTGAATGACATAGTATATATCCTTACACTTTTCAAGCAGTATGATCTTCTAAGTTAAACCTCTTTAGAGTAAATATTAAACTTGATCTCGATAAAATCTTATTATATGTGTACGTTACTTGATTGATTCAGAATTAGAAACCACTGTCAGAATCCTTTGGGGCAGACATGAGATGGCAGCAGTTAAGTTGCTGGTTGGGACTCCACACCCTGCAGTAGAGTGCCTTATTATACTTCCAGCTACTCTTGCTCTCTAGCTTGCTGCTGCCGTAGCACATGATGGTTCAATACTGGTGTCCCTGCTACCCTCAGGAGACATCCAGACTGAGTTCAAGAGCCCCGAGTTGAACCTGACTCAGCCCTGGTTGCTGTGGGCATTTGGCAAGTCAATCAGCAGGTGGATCTCTTGATGCCTACTTCCCTGCATTTCATTGTCCTTTCCTACCTTCCCTTTCTTTCCCTCTGTAACACTCCCCCTCCCTCCATCTCTCTCTGCTACTCTGCCTTTCAGATGAAATGAAAATAAACTTTTAAAATTAAAAAAAAAATCACAGCCCCGCACACTTAACTTGTACTGCAGATCGTTCAAGAACTTTAGTCACTGTCTTTGCTTCTGTTTGTTGCTGTCATCCACAACTCTGTTTCATGGAATTCTGTTATTTTCTTACAGCAGCCTTTGCAAAGCTTTATGTCCATATTCATCTTGCAGGTCAAGGCTACTGTGTATTCAGTTAGGTGCTTCCAAGAGTTAAAACATTTGAAATGACATTTTAACAACAACAAAAGTTAAACAGAAAATGGTTAAAGTAATATGAAAGATTTATACGTTTCATTCTTCTGCAACCAGGTGTTTTTTAACAGACACTCATGAGCATTAGCAGGTAATTCTGCCTTGCTTCTATCCTGTGTGCTTTCAGATGCTGCTGTGAACTCCGGAGAACTGTGGTTTGTCAACTTCTACTCCCCAGGATGCTCACACTGTCATGATTTAGCTCCTACCGTATGTATTTCTTGTATCTCAGTTATTAAAGTTTTATTTCTAATCAATTTTTTTCTTTTTTTAGTACGTTTGAGTGGTTTTTTTTTCCTGTTAGCAGTTGTTACAACTATCAGAAATAATTACCAGTATTTTCACTTCTGCATGGCTTTATTTGCTAAATTTTCTGCTGTATGAATGTAAAACTTGAAGAAAAATAAACTTACCAGAGAGATCATTGTTTTCCTTTTTTCTCACAGTGGAGAGACTTTGCTAAAGAAGTGGATGGATTACTTCGGATTGGAGCTGTGAACTGTGGCGATGACAGAATGCTTTGCCGGATGAAAGGAGTCAACAGTTACCCCAGCCTCTTCATTTTTAGATCTGGAATGGTAAGGAATAAACTCGGCCTCTTATAGATTTGTGGAACTGCAAAGAAAATGCAACGTGTGAATTTGTTGTCAGTTATAAGCCTCAATTTTGGTGTCATCTGATTAGGCTGTAATAGTAAATATTTTGAATGATTTATGAGTAAAAACATTGGATGCCATACTTGATTTTGCTGCATTTCAAATGAAATGCCTGTCCATTTTATTCTGTCTGAAATAACCTAATTTATTCAGTGTGGATAGTTTACAGTATCTTACAGGTATTTCATAACCTGCGTAGCTCTAATATTTATAGTTTCCAATAATGAGAGTGAAACTATAGCTTAAAAACAGTACTAAAATTTCTTCCGTAAAATCAATCAGTGTTCTCAGCATACTAATTAGAAATACTGTGTGTTGTGGTGGAGCAAGGTAAGCTACCGCTTGGGTCACTTGCATTCCACATCAGAGTGCCTGGGATGAAGTTTCCCCTCTGCCTTTGCCTCCCATCCAGGCTCTCACTAACATACCTGCAAGGTAATAGGCCATGGCTAAAGTCCTGAGTTCCTGCCAGCAGCACATGAGAGCTGCCCAGAGGTTCTGTCTCCTGGCTTCAGTATGGCAGTCTCTGGCTGTGAACATCTGGAGAGTGAACTAACAGATAAGAGCTCTGTGTCTGCCTTACAAATAAAATTAAAACGAATAAATAAAGTGTAGTTTTTAAAAAATTTATTACTTCTTCTTACTCAAGTCATAATTACAAAGAGAGAAGTAGGGACACAGAGAGCTTCTATCTGCTGGTTCACTGCCTAAGTGACCTCAGTGGCCACAGTTGAACTGATCTGAGGCTGGGAACCGGGAGCTGCTTCTGGTCTCGGGCCATCCTTCGCTGCTTTTCCAGATCATTAACAGGGAGCTGGATTGGAAATGGAGCAACCAGACTAGAACCCCATCGGGGGATGCCAACGCACATTTGGGGATGCCAATGCTACAGGGAGGATGAGCTTGCTTGCCTCCATACTGGCTCCTAAATAAAACTTAAAAGAAATATACTAAACTATTGAAAAAGAATTTACTGCACTATTTACAATGATGTAAAATAAAATACAGGTATTTTAGTTTTAAAAAAAGGAAAAGTAAAATTTTTCCCTTTTTAAAAAATCAATAGGCTACAGTGAAGTATCATGGAGACAGATCAAAAGAAAGCTTGGTGAATTTTGCCATGCAGCATGTGAAAAGCACAGTGACAGAACTATCAACAGGTAATTTTTTCCCTTAGTTTTCCCTTCAAGGATATTTTGAAATTGGCATTTTAAGTTTTTCAATGCTAATATTTTGATCAACAAGGTAAAATTTTAAGTATCTTCTCAATGGAAGAGAGTTGTCATTCTTTCGTCTCTGCTGAATAGTATGTACTTAAACTGTATTTTGTACAGAAACGAAAACAAGGAATATTTGGGAAATGGGTATGAGATAAGGCTCAGTGGAAAGGCATTTTCAGGTTGACACCATGTGTGCTATTGCTATACTATTTTACTGCCCTGTAACAGGCAGTAAAGTCTGGCTTCTCCAGCTTAAAGTTAAACTCTTCTGTTTGGGTTTTTAATTGTTCAAGTGATTTCAGGCAGATACCTGCTCTGGCCTGGCCTGTCCATGACATGATAGTACTCACAACTACAGAAATGTTCATTTCATCCGTGAGTATCCATTCCAGGTCAGAAACTCGGGCTGCTGTAGTAGGGGTGCAGTCCTGGTGACCTGCACCCTTCTGCAGTGAGGACACTAGGAGACAGTTACAGAAAGCTCGGGAAACATGAAAGACATAACCCAGTTGAAGAAAAGAAATAATTAGAAAATATTTCTTGAAATAGGTCATACCCAGTCATCATGAAAAATGAGTTAGAAACCTTATGAGATTACTCTCTATGTGGGGAATTTGCAGTATGTGGTGAATCTGACAAAAGATGAGTAATGGGGTGGAGTGGTATGGGAAGAAATGTGTTGTATGCAGAAATATGTTGAATTCATACAAAGCTTTACATAGTTTGAATTTCTTTCTCATTGAAATAATGAATAAACAACTTAGACAATCATTGAAGGAGTCTGATGTTCAACGGGAATGTTAACATAACTGCTCAGACAAAAGTGGATTGGAAGGGAACAAGATTAGAAAAAGTAATGCAGGAGACTTATTTCCATTAATACCAACAGGTGATCAGAGATTGGATGTAATTGGTTCATCAGGATATGGAATATATGGGGATTACTGTTTCAGGTGGCCTTTTGTAAATTTAAACCCATTCTGAAATGTTCAAAAAATTTTTAAGGAAAAAAAATCTGCTTTCTTTGAAGGAAATTTTGTTAACTCTATACAGACTGCTTTTGCTGCTGGTATTGGCTGGCTCATCACTTTCTGTTCCACAGGAGGAGGTAATTTTATTATTTTCTAGAAATGAAAAGACTGGCATGTAAAATTTAGGTAACAGTTGTGTGTTACTGTAATTGATTACTCAGTATTTGAAACTACAGTTTATAATTAAGATTGTAGTTTTTTTGCTTGATGAGTATTTCACCTTTTTCATTATTTTGCACATGATCCAATTATTTGTTAATTATTTGTTAATATATGTTCTGTGGACAAGTTAATTGGAGCATTGATAAATTTTACCTTCATGCAGTCACAGATATCAGAAGTCTAAAAAATAACTATTGACAGCTATGTCCCTTCCCAGAGTATTATTATTTTTGGAGATACAAACTTTGTCTCATATTTAATTATATAAGAAATACATAGATTTCTTTCAAAGTATTTGGGGGTAGCACCTTTCCATTTCTAAGAACCTTTCTGTAAGTTAAAAGATTAACACTTTGTAACAAAAAATATACACACTGTAGACTATATTCAGTGAGATTGGGTAAAAATTGTCGCCAGTAATCTAGAACATCCTGATAACATCAATACATTTTCAGGTGTTAAATCCCAACTGAGTCTTTTCTTTACACTTCACTTCTCGCCCTTCTTACTGCTTTGCTCAGGATGTATTGCCTTGTAATTAAAAATCAGCCATTTGCCTGTTCTCTAAGAAAGATAAAACATTTGAGGAAAAACCAGTTCTAAACTTAGTCTCTCACGACCAGCTCTTCCTTTGTTTTGGCCTGATGCCCAGGCATCTGCCTGGCTGACTTTTTAAACAGTCTCTGTTCCAATAAAGTATGTTTTCCTGTCCTTCTAGGTTCTCTGATGCTGTAGACCCATTTATCTTCATTGTTACTCATTGTATACTAGCATGCATGTTTGCACAACTTCATCTAAGTAATGAAGAAGCTATTTTAAGGTTTTGAAAATTTCTTACATATCTTTATCAAATAGGTGCATCGCATTTAATCTACCCAAACCATGAGATCTCTTAGAAAAAAGGAATTGTTACTATAGAAAGATTTGAGAGTAATACCCCCAAAAGATGTCTGAGAGTCTGTAGCTAGAAATCCTGAGAAGTTACTGGGTGGAAATGAAAGCGAGTGGATGAAGTGTAAGCTTACTCAGCTGAAATTGCCTCATGACAGTTTTTTTTTCCTCTTCAGATTGTTTGACTTCACAGACACGACTGAGGCTTAGCGGCATGTTGGTAAGTGTCAATCATTCTGTAAAATTATCATCTTGTAAAGGAACACATTTATGTATTGATTCACACATTTTGTAGTTTCTTGAACACTTGTAATCCTCCTTGTTTTCTGATGCATTCACAGTGTGATTTCTTGATATGTATTAGCTATCTTCAGTAGGTATTGGCACGTGCTGCTTTCATTGTCATTTATGAATTCGTCTTTAACTGAGTTCTGTTGTCATTTGCAGACCATTTTGTGTTTTCATTTTTTTATTTGTATGACATTGATTTTTTTTAACATTATTAAAGGTACCTTGGTGCTTTGAGAATTTGTCCTCTGCAAAAACTGAAAATGTTTTTTGCACAATTATATATTCTCTGTGTATTGTGTGAAATTTTATAACTACTAGTTCAAATTTATTATGTTATTCATATCTGTATCATTTTTTTGTATGAGAATTTGATTTCTGAGAGGGGCATATTAAAACTTGCAGTCACAATTGTTGATAACATTCTTTTCTCCTGATAAAATTTCTGTCAGTTATTGCATCCTGGGAAATCCATCATTAGACAATTCTATTGCCGTATGAACATCATGAGTGGAGCTTGCAGAAGTAGAAAATGCTGTGGATGAGTCATTGTGTGGTGGGTGAATGTGAAAGCCTAGGGCTTGTATCAGTCTGTGTAGTCTATGAATATGGTACAGTCTGGCATCCCGTCCCCTGGGAGGCCTTCAGGAGCAGGGGCATGCGTGGAGCTGTCACCTCCTGTAGTCACAGTCCTGCAAGTAGAGTCCTTCCTGAAGAGGCTGGCTCTTGTTGAGCACGTATCTCTTCAGAAATGTGCCATGTGTGGTTTGTTAGGAAACAGATACTGCGGCAGGAAAATTCTTTTTTAAGTTCTAAGATTTGTTTTATTCATTGAAAGTCAGGCTGACAGATCTATCCAGTGGTTTAATCCCAAAATAGCCACAATGGCTGAGGCTAAGCCAGACTAAAGATGCTTTTAGTTGTATAATTTCCTTTTCCCCGGCTTCTTTTTAGCTCTGCATTCATTAGATAAAAAGTTTTTTTCAGCTACATGTTGATCTTCTATAACCACGGTCATATAAGTGATTTGACATTGACTGGAGAGCGCACATGACAGTTGGGCATAATGTTGGTGGCCCTATATTCATAATCATTGCTTCTTTATACTGGCTACTGTTCGTCTCTTTTTATGCATCACTGAGGTTTTGTTCTTTTAATATCAATTGTATCTGAGATATCAAAATCACTTAGTATACTTTTGTTTTGTTGCCTCCCTGTATTTCGCTGTACGTTAGGAGTACCTATACAACACCACTATCTGAGAATCACCTGAAAATCTCAAAATAATCAACAAAAGAAAAATATCTCACAGATTAATTAAATCAACATAGTTGGCATTGATGTGTGAGTGTTTTGTCTGTAATGTTGATTTTTCGTGTTCCTTTTCACTAATATCATTGGGCATATTTCGCATCAAAGATATCCTGGCCTTGTAAATAGTTAGGAAATTTTCGGAAATTGTTCCAAATGATTGATTTTACTTCTTCAGTTTTTATTTTTTCAATTTTAGTATATGTGCTGCCGAAGCGAGCACAGTTTTTATTTTTTCATAGGATTCATCAGGGAAACAGTCTGAACCTTCAGTTTTCTTTATGTACACATTGAAAAAATCTTATATGTAAAAGATTATTCCAGTATCACCTTTTTTTTAAAGATTTTTTTTTTACCTTTTTTTAATTATATTTTTTGCAATCTTTACATAGTTAATTAGGGTAAAATGGTTCAAGGGCTATAGGAAAGTGGGTAAGACTATTATTTTTTTTTTCCATATTGTTTCCTTCATGTTTAAAGGGGGATATTAAGGGAGAAGGCCCACCCAATTTCGCACCCTCCCCAGGTCCCACATGTAGGGTGTGCTCCGAGGTTCTTGCTCAAGTGGTTTTGATAGTTCAACAGTTATATCTTGCTGCCAGTCTTGTCACTCCAAGCACTATGAGGTCTTTGAAGAATCCACTGATTGATATAGTCCATCATAGAGTCTCTGTTTGCCCTATATTTCACTGCCAACATATAGCTGAGGTGTTTGAGTGATCTGTTCTGTCTTCTCTCTTTTCTTGGTTAGGGTTCTGAGTCCAGCATTTCGACTGGGGAAATTTCCAAAGAAACTTTGAGGTGTTCTCAGACCAGATTCTTATATGTGCTAGCAGGGACAGGGCCTGGTTCGGTGCATGGCCCCAATCAGCTGATGGTTGCGATCGCTGGGTTGATTGTTTTCAGCCTCGACTTCCACTGGAACCAGTGGGTGTTGCAGTCCAGCCTGGTTCTGCCCAGCACATTCTCGGCCCTCGCATAAACAAGTGGCAGCTGCAGCCTAGTTGGAGCGGCCCACAATAACCCCCACCAGGCCCACTCCCTACCCTGGTTTGCCAATATGTGTAGCAGTAGTCCAGTCTGTCCCACACCCCATTCCACCCCAGCCGCTGTCCTGGTTTTTGTGCCCTCCCGTGGAAGTGGTAACCCAAGAGGGAGGAGCCCACTATTTCCCTCCCAGGCCTCCCCCATTCCCAGATTGTGCACTCTCCAGATAGTTCTGTGGTTTGACTTGACAGAATTAGCCCCCAATGCCAGCTTTTGCCAGCTGATGCTGTGGCTAAGCCCAAACAACCCTCACCCACTCTAATTTTGTTTGCACCAGTAGGAATAATCAGCCCAGCCCAGCTTTTCCCTGATCTAGTCCACATGAGGCTCACAGGTGTGGTAGCCCTGCCTAGTCTGGTCTGCCCCCATCCAAGCCCACACTCTCCAGTGGGAGTAGCTGTCCATCAAAGGAACCCTCCCCTTATTCCCCTGCTGGCTCCGCCCCCTCCCTTCGTGGTTCTCAAACGTGCTGGATGGGTGCTGTGGTCACTTCTGTTACAGGCAACCTCACCTTGGCATTCCGTATTGTGCACTAGTTTTTGTTGTGACCAAACCTGGCTCAACCCACACTGTTCTGGTGCCTGGATTTGCCAGTGGATGACGTGGACAGATTCAGCCTGGTCCTTCCCCCAATCCATGCCAGATGTTTGCTAGTGGGTGACTTTCCATGGCCTGTTCTGGGCTGTTTCCTATCATGTTTCTTGCGCTTACCTGCCGGGACTGTTTCCTGCCAGAGGAGTTGCCCAGGCTCCTCCATCAGAACGTCTCCCAATGCCAGGTTTCACGCTTACCAGTGGGTCCATGAGCCAGCCCTACTCAGTTCACCTCCTGTCATAGCAGGAACAGTGGCTTTTCGTCACTGGTCTTCAACCCAATCTGGTCCTTGCTGTTGGATGTTTCAGCCCAACCATGGCTGGTCCATACCCACATATGGCTCACACATGGCTAGTAGGGGTTGAGACCTTGCCTAGTCCATCCCACATCTACCCTGGTCCTCCAGGACACCAGACGGTGTTGGAATCTGGTCCAGCTTGGTGCATCCAATCCCAGTCCACATTTGTGCCAAGAGAGACTACAACCTTTTCCCTGTTCAAAATGCAGCCCCCATTCCAGCCCACATGCCCCTTATTAGGAACCTCAACCCGGCTAGGGTTGTCCCCTTAGCTCCCCAGCCAGGCCTATTCCCAGCCATAGATCACATGCATACTGGTGGTGGCTCTGACTCAGCTAGGTTCAATCCCTCACCTGTCCCAACCTCTGCCTTAGACACTGTGGCTTAGTGTTCCTGGCACATGCAAGCCAGTAGGTATAAGAGCCTAGCTCGGCATGACCTGTGCTCCCTCCTGGTCTCTAGTTTCGCTTGTGGGCTAAGGTTTGTTCAGTCTTGCCTGGTCCACCCTGTTCCATTACCAATTGACACATTACCCAGCTGTTGGAGCTACTTTGTCCAGCTTGTCCGACCCCCAGGTCTGGACCACATGTTCACCAGCGGGAACTATGATTCCCCAAGGGAGTTTCCCAAGTTCCTTCACTTAATCCACTCCCAGACCCAGTTCTCATACATGCCATTGGGTTTAGGCCAGGTTCTGGCAAAGTCTAGCCTTCCATTTGGCCTTGTATGAGCTGGTGAACGTTGCAGCCCGGCCCACCGCACACCCTGTTCAGGATGCACATTTGGTTGCTGCTGCCCTGACTAGTCCAGACTGTTGGGGGTTCCTTTACCTGTGATTGATGGCAGGCTCCTTGGTCACACCTAGCATAATCCATCACCACCCCAACTCTTGAGCTAACCAGTGGGGCTAGAATTTCCACAGGGTTGGCCCACACATCCCTCACAGAATCTGCCCCCGGTTACTGTTCTAGTGCCAGTTAATGTCATGGCCCGGCCTAATGTGACCCTTCTTCTGATCCATCATCATGTCAGGTAGCAAGATATGCTCCTGCTGGACAAGCCCTGAGCCATAGCTTCTGCATGGACTGGTATTTGGTGGTCAGCATTGTTCAGTGATTACAAGTTTTTCAAAGGAAGAGTTACTGCCATTGGAGATCTTTACAATTGCTTCATGTCCTAGAAGCACAATGGGTTCAACCTGGATCTACCTAACCAGCGATTCAAAGAACCAAAACCCCAGAGATCCAGGCTGGTCAGCCAGCAGGCAGAGCCTGGCACCAAATGGCGTACTGGCTGCCCGGGGACAGCTCACCACGTGCACATTGTAGTTGTCGTCTGGGATATAGGCATGAGACGTCCGTCCTGAGACCCCAAGATTGATTTATTTTTATTGGAAAGTAAGACATACAGAGAGGAGGTGAGACAGAGAGGAAGATCTCCATCTGCTGATTCCTGGCCCAAGTGGCTACAGTGGCTGAAGCTGAGCCAATCCGAAGCCAGGAGACAGGAGCTTCTTCCAGGTCCCCCATGCAGGTTCAGGGTCCCAAGTTCTTGGACCATCCTCAACTGCTTTCCCAGGCCAGAAGCAGGGACCTGGATGGGAAATAGGGCTGCTGGAATTAGAACTGGTGCCCATATGGAATCCTGGTGCAAGCAACTTTAGCCAGTAGGCTCCCAGTATCACTTTTATGTTGACTAAATTGCTTAACAAATATTCATCCTCGCTACTGAGTTTTTAAATATAGTTTTTTTGCATAATAGTGATATCTTTTTAAATTTTGCTATTTTCCATTTTCTATTATAGGGATTCTCTCTTCCTACTCCTCTCCATCCCTCCTCATTTTCCCCTCTTGCCATTTTCCCTCATATTACAGTAGTATAGTCCTTTAGCAGCACTTACAAGTTTAACATTCTCATGTGTAATGTTACAGCATTGCAGGAATAGGCATTGGTAGAAAATCCAGTATCAGATAGTCAAGACATGTTTAACAGTTTCATTGGGAGTTCTCAAATTAGGAATAGAGATATTCACTACAATGTATCTTCATTTCCTAGTAAACTACTCTCCATTACACAGTTAATGTATTAGAAATTCTGTTTATACTTGTTTATATATCTGTTTTACATTTTGCATGAAGCTTGCCTTATATCAGAGACCAAATGTGATATTTCCCTTTGGGGACTGGCTTATCTTATTACGGGGCATAATGGTCTCTAGGTGGGAGCATTTTCTTTCAAATGGTAGAATTTTGTTCTTTTTATGACTGAGTAGTATTCCATATAGTAGATGTACCACAGTGGTGTTTTTTGGTTTTTTTCAATGATACAGTTCCATAGGCTCTGGTGTTTCCCAGCCCCCTGCCTGAATCCCCTCCCCTGCATTGATTTCCCCTACATTATTACAGTGGTGTATTCCTTCATACACAGTCCTAAGTCCATCATTCTGGTTTTTCAATGTATCCTGCCATTGTAGGTATGGACAATGGCAGAGAGTTCAGTATCCTATTGTCAAAATATATTTAACAGTTTCATTGGGTGTCCATGTTTGATATGGAAGTACAGATGCATACTGCATTGTATCTTCACGTCTGGATATGATAGTCCCTGTTACATGGATACTGTACATCCCATTAAATGAAAAGCAGTAAAACAAAATCAACAGGATGAAAAACAAAAAATTTACAACAACATGAAATTAAATAACCTAGTACTGAATGACCAATATACCACAATGTTTTTATCCATTCGTCGTTCCACAGGGATCTGAGTTGTTTCCATGTCTTTGCTATTGTGGATTGTGTTGCTATACTGTATGGATTCAGCTCATTTTTTATATGCAGACTTCACTTAATTTGGATAAATTCCCAGGAGAAGGTCATATGGTAGATCAATTTTCAGTTGTCTTAGCACTCTCTATGACTTCCAAGAAGTTGAACCTAGTCTAAGTCCCACCAATAGTGAAATAGAGTGTAATTGTTCTCCAGTTACATGCCAGTAGGTGATGGTAGTAGATTTCCAAATGCAGATTATTCTCATTGGAGTAAAGTGGAACCTTAAGGCAATTTTTATTTTCATTTCCCTAACAGGTAGGTGGCTAGAGCTTTTTCTTTTTTTTATGTCTATTAGCCATTTGGATTTGTTCTTTTGAAAAATGCCTGCTCATTTTTGTTTATTGAGTTCCTAAAGCTCTTTGTAAAGCATAGATATTACATACATATCTCCCAGGTTAACAGATCAGTCTCTCTTTATGGTTTTTATTTCCTTACTGTATTTGAAGTTTGTTGGAATTCTTCAGTAGATAGTAACATGCTTCTTGAGCTGCAGATACTTGCCAGTTGTTACTTCAATTATTTTTTCTGTCTCATTCTCTCTCATCTCTGGGATTCCCATTGGATACATGTTCACATTCGTTTACATCACTGTTTTCTTGCCCCATTACCAGATTTTGCAATAACCTGACTGTCTAAAAAAGGTGCTTGTCATGTAGGATTTTGAAATTCATTAAAAGAGGCTCTGCCACTGTAGGTTAAAATGAAGAAGGCAATAATTTAATTGTACATTATAAATACAGAATGTCTAATAAATTGTAATCATTGAAAGGATACTCATAATGAAACTCCTCACACAACAGTTCAAGCTTTTTATCCTGAAAGAGATTAATGAACAACCTTCTTTCCGTTAATCATTTTTCTTGGAGTCTTTCTCTATAAGAAGTAAATTTTTTTATCAGGGAAAAACCATAATTCATAATCTGAAGTTATTGAATGCTATTGAAATGTTTTAATCTTGTAAAAGAAAAGTTAAAGCCCATTTTCTTCCATTTACAGCATGGCCTGTTTTTGTTCCTCTTCATTTTAGGAAGGTCTAGTTAATGTAGGATGGATGGACTGTGCCACCCAGGAAAACCTTTGCAAAAGTTTGGATATCACAACAAGCACTACGGCTTACTTTCCTCCTGGAGCCACTTTAAATAACAAAGAGAAAAACAGTGTTTTGGTAAGAATCAGTTTAAAGACATGTCTTTATAAATACACATGGACACACATTGAAATAGTACATTATTTGCAAGCAAGTAATGAGATGAATCAGTTTATGTCAGTATTGTGGAACATTTTATTCTAATAAGTTTTTTCTAAGATTCATTTATTTTTATTGCAAAGTCAGATATACAGAGAGAAGGAGAGACAGAGAGAAAGATCTCCCATTCGCTGATTCACTCCCCAAATGGCAGCAACAGCCAGAGCTGTGTTGATCCAAAGCCAAGAGCCTGGAGCATCCTCCAGATCTCCCATGTGGGTGCAGAATCCCAAGGCTTTGGTCCTTCTTCAGCTGCTTTCCCATGCTACAAGCAGGTAGCTGGTTGGAAAACAGGGCCTCCTGGACATGAACCACTGCCCATATGGGATCGTGGTGCATACAAGGCGAGTAGGCTACTGTGCCAGTCCTAAGGAATGAATTTCAATTTCTAGCATTGTAATACATGCTTCAGTTTATAAAGTCATTTTATATAGATTACTCTTAAAGTGACATTCATATAACTTTTAAATTACTGTATATCTACACTTGAAGTCAGATTACATTTAAACTGTTACATTCTTAAATACCAAAGATACAGAATATCATCTTAAAGGGGAGAACATTTATACTATAAGTTTTTACTTAATTGCGTTTTTCTTAATGTTGAAAATACAGATTCTTGTTAGGTTTTGCTGTGACTCAGGTAAGTATTCTTTGAAAGCAGAGTGAATAAATAACCTGCAACTGAGCAAGACCAACGAAATCATTTGGTCTGGCCATGCCAAGGCAACATGAGTATGATTAGAAATTTAGCAAATCTATGTAATGTGCTAAATTTTAAGTTCATAATTTTGTATGACCCACAAATATCCAACTATTGTGTTGTAATATCCAAATGATTTTTGGGCAGAAAAAAGTTTCCTAGCCCTATTTTAAAGCATCCTGTGGCATTGTGATGTAAACCCAGGTGAACGTTGGATGTAGTTCACCTCCCTGTATTTATGAATAGGACATGGAGGCTCAACCAAGTGTCAAGGAGCTGAGACATGTAATGCTACATAGCTCTTAAAAGAATCCCAAAAGCAAGGAAAGAATTCTGATGATGATGCATCTGTCTTCTTGTATTTTCACTCTTTCTTAGATATTAATGAAGAAAGTCATATGCAGTGCAGAAATGTACCAAGATGCAGAATTTCCAAAAACCAAATCACTCAGTCACCACCAGATGCTAGATCTTCCAGATCTCTACATATGTGTACATTTATATAGATCTGTTCTGAGATGTGCACTCCCCTCAAGATACATGGTAGACATGCGCACTCTACTGTGGTTATTGATGTCTCCAGCTTAAGTGCCCCGGCTGTACCACTCACATTTTCCCATTTATCTTTTTAACCCAATTTGCCATGCTTCAGTTAATGGAAAACTCCATTCTTTATTATTAAGGCTCAAAGCCTTGTAATCATTCTTGATTCCTTTTCCTTAATCCCTATAATCACTTTCTCAGGAAGAAAAACATCTATGGTTTGATTTTGGAAAAGTTTCCATAATCTACCTTTATTTCTACCAGAGCATTTGTCATTTTGTAACACACACTTTACTTTGTTTAGTTAGTCTTCTGTTTTTCTCATTAATGTTTGGATTTGTTTACTGACATACCCTGGATGCTTAATAAAGTATCTGGTGTGTGTGTGTGTGTGTGTGTGTGTGTATATGTTTATATATACATACATATATACATATAAATATACACAAGGAAATTTCAGAAAGTTCATGGAAATGCATATAATAAACAATTATGAATCACTTTCAAAATTTTTTGCAATGAATCTTCAGTTTTTGTAAAGTTCTTTCATTTATGGTACCTGCTGTATATATGTAAATGTGTGTGTACATGACATATGCATAGATGTAAGGGGTTAGCCCTAGATATGTGATTCTTTTCATAAATAGGATCCTGTAGTGGATATTATTTCATAATCTAATTTTTTCGCTCAGGATATTTTGCCTGTGTGAATATACTTATCACATATATATATATAAAATAGTTTCATTTTATTTATGCATGTATTTCTCTTGTTCATACATCATCCACTCTGCAGTCCTGAAATCCCAGCATGCTTTACAGCACACAGTTTAATCAGACTTCTTCTGTTGGTGTTTTCCCCTTACTCTTTCTTGATGTAAACGTTGTTGGAATGAGCTATCGTGCATCTTCATTCTTCCTTTCTTCAGTCACATGATTTAAAATGTGATGCCTGCAACAGATTTAAATTCAATTTATATCGCCAGATTGTCTCTAGAATAGTTGTTAGTTGGCACTGCCTTCAGTTTATGAGGATCGCCTACAGCAGAAACAACACTTACAGCTTGTTTCCTTCAGTCTCATATTTTTATGAGATCTTTAGGTTATATGGCAGACTTGCAAGTACAGATCTCTTCTTAGGAAACAAATGAGAAAAGAGGGAGATAGCAGAGTGGGAAATTAGACATTCCTTGCTGCTCCTAAAGGCATGCCTCTCTTTATAAAAACATTGCAGGTAACTTTTAAGAGAAAGATGGGTAAACTTTACAGATATAACTGGAAAATTCCAAGACAAGTTTACAGTGTTGTGCCAATGGATTAATTGCTACCACTTTTAGATAAGGTGTTAATGGGAGTGTTTTTAGTAACATCTTCATAATGAATGTCACCATAGAACCAGAAGCTATAGAACTGAAACACAAGATTTTTGTGTTGATATTGTAAACTCTAGAGGCAGAAGTTATTTTATATAAATATTTCAGAATATTTGTGCTGTAGATTTAAATTTTAAGACATGAATCTAGAAAGTATTCTTCTTATACTTTAACCTTCCAAATATTCATTCTCAGGCATAACACCATTAAGATGCAAAGTCTGTGACAGTTTCTACAAGTTTAGTGTTTCATTTAGTACCTGAAGTGTTAAACATGTGACTCAGAACAACTGTTTTGTCAATCCTCATATACATTTTCTTGATGCAACTATTGCTACACTTCATAATAATGGCTGCTTCATTGAGAATTAGACTAGTAAGGAAAATTACATTTAAAAAGATACTGAGGATAAATAAGGTTAGAAATAAAGAGAAGTTGTTATTTTTTCTGTTACAAGTTCTTAATTATTGAGTATTGGTTAGAATATGAAGTTTCTTAATTCATCAAGTTGTTTAGCATTATAGCAACTCTAAAATTTTGTAAAACATTGACATTCTGTACAATATGATTAAACTTAAAATTAAACTTAAGTAATGTTTTTATAATAATATGGAGATCTTGCCAGGTTATTCTGAGAATTATCATAAAAAACACAGCAAAGTTTATAGAAAACTTGATTAATTTAACATCTAATAGTAGGATTTTCTTTTTTATAACCATGTTTAAAAATCTAGTTATGTAACATCTCGAGTAATTTCCAAAATATACTATGGAAAGAAGTTATTTGGAAAACCTTTTAACTCCTATAATCGTTTTCTTAAAAATTGTAATTTGAAAATGGGGAAAAATCAGACACTAGTTTATTCAGAAGGATTATAACATGATTTTCTCATTCTAGTTTCTTAATTCATTGGATGCTAAAGAAATTTATTTGGAAATAATACGAAATCTTCCAGACTTTGAATTGCTTTCAGCGAACACACTAGAGGTAATATTTAATATTAAATAGCAATGAATGCTTAACTTTTTTGTAACATTTTATGTCTTAACATTTTAAAGTCAGCATTGGTTTGACGAGTACAGTGAATTTCAAGTATAGAAATGGTAGGATTCTGAATACAAAGCAACTTTAGATCTGCTTAGGAATTTTACACTCTTAGCTTTAAATTTTTGTATTGTTTATTCTGGTGCCTGGCATCACTTAGAATTAAGCATTCAGTTTGTTGATAGAATACGTACAAATATCCTGTCTTTGGCAGTCTGGGTTTCTTATTATTTTAAAAAAAAATTATTTCATTTTGTTTGAAAGGCAGTCAGAGAAGGGCAGTCAGAAAGACCTTCTATCTGCTGGTTCCCTCTCCAAACAAAAGCTGCCGTGTCTGGACCTGGACCAACCCAAAGCCAGGAGCTCCTTCTGGGATTCCCACACGAGTGCAGGATGTTGGACCATCTGCGCCTCTTTCCCAGGCTTTTAACAGGAAGCTGCTTCAGAAATAGAGTAGCAAGGATGTTGAACAAGGACGTTGAATACGGGATGCCAGTGCTATTCACAGCAGCTTTACCCACTGGTTCACAGTGCTAGCCCTTCTCCATGCTTGTTATTCCCAAGGCTTTATAAATCTTTCTACTAAATTTTCTTCAGTACAAAAAGTCTGACTTCCAAGCTTTTTAACTCTGCATTATCAAAAGTGTTTTTGACACAGTCATCTTCTTTCCAATTTTATAATTACTAACTGAAATTGCTGTAGAATTAGATTGATTTCCATAGCATTGGTCCAAGTAAACTATAAACAATATTAGTAGGTATTATTAGGTAATAATAATGGATAATGTTATTACCTTTTGAATATTTAAAATATTAGTTTTCAAAATATTAGGTAATATTTTATGTTGGTAGGGTAGCTAAATACCCCAAGGGTATAAAAAGCTAGATTTCTTTGTAAGCTCCCTATGTCTGATATTTCTTTTTTACTTTTAAGGATCGCTTGGCACATCATCGATGGCTCTTATTTTTTCAATTTGGGAAAAATGGAAATTCAGATGATCCTGAGTTGAAAAAACTAAAAACTCTACTTAAAAATGATCATATTCAAGTAAGAAAAATGTATTTTGCCTATCTTTTGATGGCTTGCTTTCTTAGTAACTTAATGCATTTAATGAAACTTCAAAAAGTATCTTTTAAATGTTCAGTTAGAATTCTGGGTTGGGAAGCCTGTATTTGTGGATTGTGTGTTCTTTTTCTGTTAAGAATGGACATATCTCAAAGTGGTTCATTTTTATTTTTATTTTTTGAGACATGTTACACACATTTTCTGGGATATATGCACTATTGATTTTCATTTTAAGAGTTACTGATATACTTGGAAGCATGGCAGAGAAAGAGAGAAACAAAGCATCCACTGATTTTATTCCTCAAATGCCTGCAAGAGTTGTGGCTGGGCTTCCTAAAGCCAGAGACAAGAATTTCATCCAGGTTTCCCATATGTCCGAGTCCCAGGTCCATAACAGCTGAGTCTAAAGCAGAGGAACCAGGACTCGAACCAGTGCCTCAGTAGGAAATATAGCTGTGTGAAATAGTGACTTCATCTGCACCACAACATAATCCCCAATTTTCTTTTTTGGAATTTACTCATATAATTCCTGATCATTATTTAAAATGTAGGCTATATAATCGAATTGTCTAAAAATATCACCGATAGTTTCAGTACTATTGATCAGCATGAGAATTTACAATGTCACTTTTAAATATTTTATGAATGGCTATATGTGTGTATGCCATGCATTTGTATTGCAGCGGTCCTTATAATAGATATCCATGTGTAAGTTTGTACATGTACTTTTAATTTACGTAAATTCACTCTTATTTGACTTCTCATTCAACAACATCAAAGCTTTCCATGGACTTGTAAGAATATTTAATATTTAAAGCTCTTTATTCCCTAAAGACAAGGCTGTATTAAGATCTTATTTTCCCACTTTTTTTAATATTGAGTGGAATACACTTGTCCAAAATTAACTCCTCCACAAAGTTTTATTGATTTAGATTTCAAACTTATGGCAACAACCTAGAATCTTGATTTTTTATAATCTTTGCTATTCTGATTGATCAAAGTGATGTGTTAACAATGTATACTTTTATTTGCTTGTTGTCTATCGTAATTGGGAGAAAATTTTTTTAGTAACTATTAGCAGATCATAATACTTTAGTTTTTTCCTAGCCCGTTTTCTTCTCCCTGGTGGAATGTGTATCTGTCAGATTGTGTCTTATTGGACTCGGGGGCAAAATGCTACAGATTTTTTTGAGATTTTAATTTCCCTTTTTGTTCATGCTGGTCTTTTACACTGCATGAAAACATTAACCTTTTTCATTATTTGTACTAATGTTTGAATTAGAAAGTTCTCTTATGCCCCAAGGTTATATAAATAGCCTTTATTTGCATGAACGTCTTACATAACTTCATATTTTCTTGAAAATTTCCTGAATTTAACTTTTTGGGAAGCATTTAACTAAATTGAATTCACTATGAAATGCAAATGAACTAGTTGTCTTTTATGACCCATTAGCTTCGGTTTAGGTAGTATCTGGGTACTGTTAGGAGTATTTTAATATTGAATGGGTATGATTGTGTGTTTGCAGCAAAGTCACCCTCCTCTTTCTACTCTAGGTTGGCAGGTTTGACTGTTCATCTGCCCCAGACATCTGTAGCAATCTTTATGTTTTCCAGCCATGCCTAGCAGTATTTAAAGGACAGGGAACCAAAGAATATGAATTTCATCATGGTAAGAATGGGGGGAAATGATGGAAATCAGTCTTCATTTCCAAAAGGGAATTTCTAAGTATATTTTTTCCTTGTTTTTTTGGATGTGCTTATTGAGTAGCTATATTCTCATTTATTAGTTCATTAGTGAATGTGAAGATATTTTGGATTATACAGTGCTGTTTCAAAAAGTTCATGGAAATTGGTGCAGAAATATTTAATTAAATTCAGAAGAGACCCAGAAAAGCTTACTCATGACAAGTAACTACAGATTGGATCAGTGTAGGTTTTGAAACCAAAGGAGTTTGACTCCAAATAGGATTATAGCCATTAAACCAAATTTCAGTGGTGAAGTTAGAGCCTTGCTTATCTCTGAAATATTTCTCAGCTTCCTCCCTCCTTGGTGCCTTACTTTAGGTCTGTCTGTTTCATCTGCTCTTACCTGCTCCTTCTGGAAAATTACCTATTTAGGTTTTTCACTTTGCAAAAAAAACAGGAAAGGAATTGGTTTTAAAGTTATTACCTGGAACACCATTCTCATATGGCTTACATGCCTTAACTCTGAGATTCCTTATCATAAGAGCAATCACTTTGTTTTAGAATATAGCTTTTTTCTAGCACCTGCCTTGATGCCCAAAACATAGTCAGACTGTATTACCTAGTGTTTAAGTGAGTGGGGAAAATTCATGATCTGCCATTGCCAGATTTCCCTGCCTCGACTCCTACGCTCTGCCCTTGTAGATGATCTTAATGTCAAGTACTTTTGCATCTGAAAGTGCTCTACTTCTACTCCACTGTTCATAATCTCTTCCAGCATAACCATTACTTCCTGCTCCTGCAAAGATTTAGCAAGCTTGTAATCACCCTTCAAACCTTAATGTAGTTTCTCCCCAAGGATTAACTGCAAAGCCCCAAGCATTTCTTTTAATGTGTCATTACTGACTTTACAAATGTTGATTCTTTTGATATAAATAGGTATTGAGCCTCTGTGTGTACCAGGTAGAGTTCTAGAGAATAGGAAAAAATATATATGGACTCAGTCTCTACCTTCAAGAACGTTATGGATTAGTAGGGAAAGCAGATGGACAAGTTGACATATTTTTTCAAATTTGAAAAACATGAAGTAGGGAATATTAATTGCCTTCCTAAGTAGTAATGACTCCCAAAATTCAGCAGCTTAAACATTTATTACTTCACATTGATTTGTTGATCAATGACAACACATTAACAAGATGGTTCTGGAGTCAGATTCTCATGAGGTTGAAGTGCAGACTGTGGCCTCAGGATGTAGTGTCAGGCCAACCCTTGGGATTCTTTGCTGGTTGTTGCCACGGCCTCAGTTCCTCAGCACATAGTGGCCACAGTGTGGTCAGTCTCCATCCAGAACAAGTATTCTGAGAGAAAACAAGACAAAACAGTATCTTTCATAACCTTGTGTTAAGACAGAATATTACATCCAAATATTGCATTTATCCAACCCTGGTAAAACCTAGTGGTCTGAAAAACCAAAGGGGAGGTCATTGAGGGCTGTTTTAGCAATGGATTACCAGATATAAGCATAAAATCTTCTAGGATTATAGAAAGCCTTGAAGAGAACAACTTTGTTGAAATTTGAAGTAGAAATAGTGATTGCCCAAAGGAAAAGGTAAAATGTTCATTGGGCTCTGGTGAGAGTCTTACTGTTTCAGATGTAATAGAATGTTTAGGAACAAGGTCTAGCACATAATAGGCGCTTGAGTTAAGACAGACTATTACAGTGAGTCAGAGGCACTTGGGAGACATAATTAGGCTTTGGTTAAGAGAAATATAGGCAGTGGAGGACACCCAGAGGCAATTAAGCAAGGGGACATTGTAAATACCAGATAGGAGATGGATTAATGAAGGCTTTGGACACCAGCTTGATATTGCAGTAGGCCAGATTAAACTCAGGCATGAAGTTGGATCTTGTCAGAGCTGGATAGCTTGGGTGAGGGTTTGATAAAAGGACAAAAAAAGTAGGCTCTCTGGGAACACTTATTTAGGCATGAAATAGATTATCTGATTGCCAAGCAAGACAGAGAAAATGAAAAAGGGAGCAAGTTGGGAATAATTTAGCTGTAATTTGGATACATTTCCTTTGAAATAATAAGATGTCCAGGTAAGTTTTTCTCCTGAGCAGTCTGCTGAAGAAATAGTTTTAGAAAATACACCATAAGTATAAAGAACCAAAAGAACAAGATAATAAAGTGTATATTCTACCCCTAAAAGAGTACTTCAAAGAAGCAGTGACATTTTAACACACACACACACACACACCCCAAGATCAATTATGCTCAAATATTAAGATGACCTTTTGAGAAAAGTCTGAAATGTTCTAAAAATATAAAAGCAGATTGTGGATTTAATTTTTCTCTTATTCAATTTCAAAGGAAAGAAGATTCTATATGATATACTTGCCTTTGCCAAAGAAAGTATTAATTCTCATGTGACTACACTTGGACCTCAAAATTTTCCTGCCAATGACAAAGAACCGTGGCTTGTTGATTTTTTTGCCCCTGTAAGTTATTTGTCAGAGGGTTTTTTTGTTGGTATGGTTAAAAAGGAATTTTCTATATAAATGTCTTTAGTATTAGAACTGTGTCGTTGGGTTTTCACCATTCTTGCATATTGCTTGAAAGTTAGAACAAATGTAATTGTCCTTCTCCAAGGCTTAAGGCTTACTGCTAAGTATGATTTGCCACCAAGTATGATTTGTCTTCAAATGTTTGCAAAACTGATGAGTTTTTGTTTCATTTGGCTCAGTGCTTATGAATATTTTTTTTTAGTGGTGTCCACCATGTCGAGCTTTACTGCCAGAGTTAAGAAAAGCCTCAACACTTCTTTATGGACAGCTTAAGTTTGGCACGCTGGATTGTACAATTCATGAGGGACTCTGTAATATGGTAAGTATAAACATCTATCTTCATTAAGTTTGTAAAATAGAGACCTTTAAACCATATAATGTTAAAAAGGATGTTTTTTTCAAATGTGGCTTTTCCAGTTATAAGCAATAAAAATATTTCTAAACAATTTATTATGATGAGGGTAAATCATAGCCAGTAACTTGTGTGTTAGAATGTAAGATCATCTCAAACTCAGGCAACTATGATTTTCTGTTTATTCGCAGTCTTTATTAGCTTGTGGCAATCTAATTTTTATCCTTTGGCATTGCTCATGTTTGCCTTTAAGGGTAATTAATAGATTACTTCTAAAAAATGTGTTGAATTTGGTAAAAGAAAAATAACCTTTTCTTTATAATACACATTTTTCATGAACTCGTAGACCCTTCATAGGAGAAATTTGAGGCAGTGAATGCACTTTTTGAAACTTGTTTATATCAAAATATTTTCTTATGTAAACAAATACTTCAGTTCCAGAAATATCTGGAAATTGCCTGAAATAGGTACCTGTTATTCATTTCTTTCAGAAAAAGATTAAAGTGAGAACTGACAATTTGTTCTTTACACCCTCTTCCTGCCTTGACTGAGGAGAATAAGAAAGCACCAAGCACTAATTACCATGGTTACGTCTCAGTATTTTGATGTCTTCTTTTTATGGCAAATGGAGAAATTATCAGCAGGGTTGAGTACTGAATTTAATTTGTATTCTCCATCTTTGCAGTATAATATTCAGGCTTATCCAACAACAGTCGTATTCAACCAATCCAACATTCATGAGTATGAAGGACATCATTCTGCTGAACAGATCTTGGAGTTCATAGAGGTATTGAAAGTTCTAGCCTGTGACTAAAACCCTTCTCTCTATCTAGACTTTGTATGAATATTTAGTCATATTTACTTGCCAAAATTTTTCTGCCAAGATGATTTTGATAGTGTTTTATCATAAACTTGCCTGTGACAATCTTATTTTGTTGTGTCTATTATAATATTCTACATATTAAATAGATGAAATCACATGTGGCATGTAAAGCTTTGTTAGCCCTCTGCTGTGCCCTGTTTTCTCTAAGATCAGCAGGCCTGGCAGTTTATGCCAGTCTCCTGCATAGAACAAAAATATGTTCTAGCTGCTTGTTCATTTAATAGCCAGCCAGCCTACTGTGTTCCACTCATCTGTGTCTCCTACAAAGTAATGTTTTGGTGCTTTTTAAAATTATTATCATTTTCCTAGTGAAGCTAATCTCTTGCTAGTATTACCTGGACTTTATAAATCTAAAGGTTGCTTAAAACTGCCTTTGGAACATGTAATCTCTTCTAGAGAGATCATGGTGCATCTCCAGTCAGAATGTCAGCCAAATAAGGTCGACTTTCCATTAGTGATTAAACTGTCTTTTTTAGACCAATCATTCTTGGATCCAAAACAGATTAGTTATATGTAGATGCGAATATATCTGCTAATGGTATCATCTACTCCCAACTTAAGTTGCCTCTTGTGATTTCAGGAAAAATATATATGCCCTGATTCAAGAAAATTGATGGGGAAAACAAAAATGGCCTTTAATTTGGATTTAAGTCTAATACTCTATAGATTTCCTTAAACATCTTTCAACTTCTAAAACATAATTGATAAATGACTGCAAACAATTTGACAAGAATATGTGAACAGCCATCACTGTTCTAATAGAATCTGTGTTCCTTTTAGGACCTTAGGAATCCTTCTGTGGTCTCCCTTACACCTACGACTTTCAATGAACTAGTTAAAAACCGAAAATATGATGAAGTTTGGATGGTTGACTTCTATTCGCCATGGTGTCATCCATGTCAAGTGCTGATGCCAGAATGGAAGAGAATGGCTCGGGTGCAGTAAAATTGTTTCTTTTCAATCTTAATAACTCACGAAAACTGTTTTTTAGCATAGTTACTCTGAAACAGATTAGTAAAACCAAAACTGGATTATTTCATAACATGTCATGTAGATTCCAACTTTTTCCTAATGTGAATTGTTTTGGTTTTTTTTTTTTAATGCTTTTTGGTGTGTGGGTATGACCATTAGCTACCCCAAAAATCTTGATTTTGTATTTATATTTTTTATACTAGTAAACTTTCAATTTAAGAGAAAATCCCCTACCCCCAGGTTCTTTCCCAGATCCTACAATATCTGGTTGGGAACTGGGCTAGGCTGAAGCCAGGAACCAGAACCTCAGACCAGTATTTCCCATTTGGGTAGCCTTGACCCAACTGTTTACTCATTGGCAGAAGGCCGGCATCAGGAACTGAAGCCAGGAGTCAGACCCAGGTACTGCAATGTGTGGCATAAGCATACCAGCCTGCATCTTCACCACCACACCAAACACTGCCCCACTGCTTTCTTTTCAATATTTGGGACTTTAGAGAGAGATGCTTGAGTAGCAGGCACTGTAGTACAGCAAGTTAAACCTCTGTTAGTGATGCTCCTGTCTCTTACTAGAGTACCACCTTAAGTCCCAGATACTCTGCTTCCAATCCAGTTTCCCTCCTAATAATCCCGGGAGGCAGATGATTGCTCAAATGCTTTGATTCTTGCTAACTTGTTGGCCCCTGATAGAGATCCTGGCTTTTGGGTTTGGTCAGGCCCAGCTCTGGCTATTTTAAGTATTTTGGGAGTAAGCCAGTTGATGGAAAATCAATCTTTCACCACCCCATGGAAAATCAATCTTTCACCACCCCTGTTACTCTTTCAAGTAGATGAAAATAAGCATTTCTTTAAGACATTTGAGGGACCAGAGCCTGGCATGGTAGGCCAGGAACTAAAATCCTTGCCTTGCACACCATGGCATAGTAGGCTAAGCTTCCACCTGTGGCACTAGCAACCAAATGGGCACTAATTTGTGTCTTGGCTGCCACACTTGCAATGCAGCTTCAAATTTGTGGCCTGGGAAAGCAGCAGAGGAGAACTTAAGTCCTCGGGCTCCTGCAGGCACATGGGAGACTTCACAAGAAATTTCTGGCTCAGCTGTGGCCTGCACTGAGGCCATTTGGGAATGAACCAGCAGATGGAATCTGTCTCCTCTCTAACTGCCTTCCAAATAAAAATGAAAATCTTTAGCAGGAGTATTTAAAAGGCAGATTTAGAGAGATCTGGTTCACTTCCCCACATGGTGCAACAGCCACGGCTGGATCTGCCAGAGCCAGATGCCTAGAACTCCAAGACCCCAAGTGAGTTCAGAGGCCCAACCACTTGAGCGAGCCATCCTCCGCTGCTTCTCTAGGTGCCGCAGCAGAGGGCTAGCTGGAGTTCAGCCTGCTGTGTCAGCACAAGCCCCAGAAAAACATTCTGAAGAAAGGGAGCTGTCAGGGTTAATTCTAAAAACTTTTCTAAGGTTTTAGTGATAAAAAATATTTGGAAATTTCCTGCAAATAGGCACATGAAAGGTTAAAAATGTTAAATATTAAAGTACAGTATTTTGTAAAACCTATGTTTATTCTTTTTACATTTGGGCATAATTTGATAAGTAACCTGTAATTTTGCCTCCATTAAAAAAAGTAATTATTTCAAACACTTTGATTTTTATAAACATTTTTCTATGTAATAGTGGATTAAGTCAGCTGTTTAATCTGTAATTACTATAAATTTATTGGTATAAATGATCTGTGTCAAGGCCATATCCGGTTTCATGTGGTGAAAATCAGTAATAAAACCACTATTGTTAATAAAATACCTGCTTTTGATTCTCTTTGACACCTTTATTGTCTTTCTCTTGCATAGACACTAAATGGACTGATCAGTGTGGGCAGTGTAGATTGCCAACAGTACCATTCTTTCTGTACTCAAGAGAACGTTCAGAGATACCCCGAGATAAGGCTTTTTCCACAAAAATCAAATAAAGGCTTTCAGTATCAGTAAGTATTCTCTGAAAATTTTAACTGTTTAAGTTATACAGTTAACATTTAAAATAGCCTAAATAAAGCCCACTGGGTTACTGAGCTTTTTGGAAAGTAAAGAGAATCGAACAGGCTGACAAGAAGACAAGGAGAAGGAAAGCTGTCATGCATGAAGCCTTGATTTACTTTCAGGTGCATTTGCTCATTGTTTGCACTGGTTCTCACGTTGCTCTGTATTATAAAAGAGTAAACTCTGACTCTCACACGTGCTGTTACCTCCCAAGGCATGGCCATGAGGGTCTGTCTCGGTGTCCTTGTGTTTCCATGTCCCCATGTGCAATTTCAGTTCAGAAGCTCCAAAATAGAGTATGATGAAACTTAAAGTAGAAATGAGCTGTGGGTTTCAAAGGAAGAATCACAGCAGTGAGAAAAGCATTAAAAAAAAGAAACACGTTTTTAAAGTAACTTTATGTGAGTCTTCATTTGAGAAACATTAATGACTTGAGATGTCCAAAATTTGAGTGTCTGAACCTGTTTCGCCGTTGCTGGTCATTCTGTCCACAAGAAGGCAAAGGACTCTGGGAGGCTGTGCATTAGTATTAGTGGCAAGATATATTGGAGATGGCTATCAGTCAGCTGTCCTTATTCATTCAATTGCTTATAGTAAGATTACGTTTTTTTCTTCTTTCAGTAGCTACAAAGGTTGGAATAGGGATGCTTATTCCCTAAGAATCTGGGGTCTAGGGTGAGTAAAGTATTATCACTATATAAAGTAGATTTAAAGCTTTTTATATTCTGCTTATGTCTGTGGTTACATTTAGTGTGGGTTGTATAAAGTTATATGCACCAAAAAATACATGGCAATTTTGTGAAGTCATTTTTAGTTTGGGAAGTTTTACAATAATTATAGTTTAGATTTTTATATAATAAATTATTTTGATTACTTGCTGCAGATTTTTACCTCAAGTGTCCATTGATTTAACACCGCAGACTTTCCAGGACAAAGTTTTACAAGGGAAAAGCCACTGGGTAGTTGATTTCTATGCTCCTTGGTGTGGACCTTGCCAGAATTTTGCTCCAGAATTTGAGCTCTTGGCTAGGGTAAGTCTTCTCTGTATACATAAATAAGCTGTAGTCACTTATATGTTTTAGCAGTTAGATAAAGCATTGTAGATATAATTCAGTGTGCTCAGTTTTAGAAGAACTACTCATTTGTATAATTATCTATACTGTATGCTTCATGTTTATTAAAGGGCTTAACTAGTACCTTCTCTGGAGTTAATATCATTGCCCTCCTACCCATACAAATCCAAAGCTTCTCTTCTTTCCTTGTCGGTACCTTGCCTCCCTCTGTCTTCCATGTCTCACTCTCATGCCCTGTCCCTTTCCACTGATAGCCTCTTTGTTCCAGCTTTCACTGTCGCTTATCTAGCCAGTCGCTATTTCCCTTTTCCTCCTTCAATGCTGCTTAGGTGATCTTTCTAAAATACTGCTTTCTCTGGTGTACTAACCAGAATTGACATCTCTGAAGGATTCTGTCCTGCTCTTCAGCCTTATCTTTGTCCCTTCAACTCTAGGTACAGCATGATAATAACATTCTCTAAACATGGATGAAATTTTCATCTAGCGGAAAAATGCAGATATGTAACAGTATAATTGGTTGTGGGAACTTAGAATGAGGGTAAAAGATGGGCTTCATGTCAGATTCACACCAGGAGGAGTCAGAATAGTACTGATGACACATTTAAGAATGCCCAGGCCCTAGTGCCAATTAGCACCTCAAACAGGAAAGAGCAGAATAGAGGCATGAAAGCCTAGGACATGCTGAGGGGTCTCCACTGTTAGTCTAGTATAGCCAGAGTGTAATTTAGAAGGGGAGTGGTAAAAACTAAAGCTAGATTATCAGTAAGGAAGAAATTTATTCCTTTACCCCACACTGTGTATGCTACCTCCAGAGTATCATCTCTGTAAGCATTACTGGGTAAGCAGGATATTACATGTTAAATCACATTAATACTCTGGACAAGGGCTAATAAAAAAGATTTAGCACATTGGAAATAATGCAGTACATTTTCATGTGTAATTGGACATAAAAATATTAAAATGTTTTATACATTAAGTAACACCTTGTACTCTTATACTGAAGTGCAGAAAAATCCACAAGTGAGAAAGACCTTGTACTTGCTTACGCCTACAGCTTCCTCAAGGTCTTCACACAAATTAGAGGTAGCAAGACAATTTTACTGAAGTGAGAGATAGTAAAGAGGATCCAATATTAGGCAACCTTGATAGATTTGGTATCTTTTTTCTCCCTTCAAATCTGACATTAAGACCTATTTCTGGTAAGAGAAATTTAGGATGCCCCTACTGTCTAGGCTAAACTGCTAAATCTACTCTTGGCCTGTCTTAAAATAAATAAATAAAATTAATCCTTTCTCCTTTAAGATTCATTTATGGGGCCATCACATGGTTACTCAGCAAGCTAACCCTACACCTGCAGTGTCAGCCTCCCATTTAGGCCAACAATTCTAGTCCTGGCGGCTCCACTTCAGATCCAGCTCCCTGCTCATGGACTGGGAAAGTGGCCCAAGTCGTTGGGCCCTTAAACCCAGGAGACCAGAAAGGAGCCTCTGGCTCCTGTTTTCAGATTGTTTCAGGTCCAGCTATTGGGGCCCTTTAGAAAGTAAGCCAGCAGATGGAAAATCTATAAATATGCCTCTCAAATCAAAATAAATACAAGAAAACTGCATTACCACAAATGTGGAAAAACAAGTTATAAAGATTTAGTCATTTGAAAGAGTCACAGCTAGAGGGAGAGGCAGAGAGACCTTGGATCTGGTTTCACTTCCCCAGATGGCCACAACATTGAAGTACTCATTCAGCTTAGTCAACTAGAAAACACTGATCAACATAGGGCCACTTCAGTACAGACGAGCACAAAAAATAGATGGTGATTAAGTGAGGAAAGAAAGCATACAATGAACCAAGCAGTGTGGTAACTAGAAGGGATCATGCCAGGAATCCTTCTCTGGTTCTGTATGTATACCCAGAGATGGATTAGTTGAGGAACTGGACAGGTTAGTAGCATAGTGCGCCTTCCCCCAGGCAGTGCTCCCTCATTATGGAGAGCTTGGGGATGGATGCACGATGGAAACAAAAACAGGCCTTTATGTTCCAGGCAAGGTGTGGGAAGGAAGAAGCTGAGGAAGTTCAGGATACAACTTCTCAGTGTTCTTGATAAATTCCTCTGCTTCCTCTGCAGAAGGGCTGGTGGCAATAGCCTAAAGGGCTAGAGGACTTTTTGAATAAGGAGAGGTAAACCTAAGATTCAAGATAGCAGGCCCTTATGATGAAAAAAAAGGAATGGAAAATATTTAAAATACTTCTTACTGGTTGCCAAAATTGTTTATGCCAATGAGAAAACATCATTTTCTTTTTCAGTTAATTAAAGGAAAAGTAAAAGCTGGGAAGGTAGACTGCCAGGCTTATGGACATACATGCCAAAAAGCTAACATCAAAGCTTACCCAACTGTGAAACTGTATCTCTATGACAGAGCAAAGGTATGTACAAGGCTTTCCGCACCTTCCCTTCGCAAAAGAAGATTGTTCTTCATTTACTGTAGCTGGTTAAAAAACAATTTCGACATCATAGGTAATAGCTAAAGATGAGCAAAATGCAAATTGATAAAAGAATTGAGTGGTCATCCCAGATAGTTCTGTGCTTAGGATAAGCTGACAGTTACTAATTTAATGTTGATATTGTTTTTTGTTCAACAAACCATAAGACCAGTGACGTTTCGGAAGTTTACAGTGACTGTTGAAGTCACTGGGAATACCCTGCAATGCATGCTGCTGCCCAGAATACTACTTTGTGTTTCTATTGAAAAAATCCTGTACATTTCAAAGTAATGAGCTCACTTTAGAGAAAAATGAACTGTAACAAGCAGTATTCACTATTAAATGGTAATTATATTATAAACTACAGCTAAGAAATTGGGTTATAAATTTCAGAAATCTGGAATTGGCATAAATTTAATTTTTTAGTGGAGGTTTTTGCTTTGACAAGATGCTCTCTGTTAAGATGAGCCTGAGGCATGCTGAACATAGTGTGTGAATGAGAGTTATATGAGAACTTGAACCTTTCTGTGGAAACAGTAGCTATCTCAGTTTTCAAAAACAATCGAGAGGTCAGGCTGTAGATCATATTCAGGTGGAGTGATATTAGAGAAGGATTCACATAGTGAGTAGTCACCAAGGTAACCAGGGCATTGAAAGGGCTATTGGAAAAAAATGGTGCTGTGTATTGAGAGGGCTCCAGAGAACAAATGTAAGAACTAAATGTCCCTCTCCAAACTGAAAAGTAGGTGTGGTGATCAGAAATATATATTTTACAGAAATTTCCCATATTCGAATGTTAGTATATTCAAGGTTTTGCTATCATTTCCATCTGTTTTCCATAACCCAAAAGGCAACTGTTAGCGACAGCTGTCACCTCACACTTCCCACACTACTAATCTGTTTTGTGTTTCCTTACATTAGTCTATTTTGGCTATTTCATACACACAGAATCATACTATCTGTGCCCTTTCTGATTGGCTTTAATTCATCCATCTTGTGGTGTGGATTCATATTTTGCTTTTCAAAGCTAAAATTTCCTTTTATGGACAAACCAAAATAATGACTACAGTCAACTCAAACACAAACCAAGGTAGGAAGTTACACACAAATAAAATCATAGTCCCCAGGTCTGAATTGGGGATTGCACCAAGGATAATAGGTAAGTCGAGGCACAAAATAAGCACACTTGACTCTGTTAGCTTGCTTATTCTGCTTTTCAGCCACCTGCTTACTGTGGACAGATAATAGGGAATATGGGTTGTATTGCATTATTGTAGTTTGACATTTGGTCATTGCTGACAGTTGTATTTAACTTACAATCATTTTAGTCCTCCGCAGACATTTTTCCTCATGTTAGGCTTTTGGTATCAATTGATACATTTTTCTGAAAGAATTATGCTACCTTATCCCTATTAGTAGTAATTATTTCAGGGTCAAACTTTTTGCAGCATTACTTCCTTGAAGAAATTTCAATTTCAAGCAGTTTAGAACAAGAAATTTAAAGCATCTTCATTCAAGTTTAGGTGAGAATACCGGTTTGGGGTAAAATAATGAGTCTTTCTCCTTTCAGAGGAATATTTTGGAAGAACAAATACCTTCTAGAGATGCAAAAGCAATTGCTAACTTAATAGATGGAAAACTGGAAGTGCTCCACAATCAAGGGAAGCGAGATAAGGTAAGGACTAAGCCTGGAGCTGACTTTTGCAAAAGTTACCAAAATTTCTTAGATGTAATTTACATCTATCAGTGGAGAGGTAAAATGAAGTTCAAAAGATATTAGCATAGTTGGAAATGCCTGCTTTGGGAAACAATAATCAAAATGCAACCCCTAAGTACTGAAATACTTGTAGTCATTTAAAAATAGTTTCTAAGTATTGGTCCATATAGAAGCTTGGTTAGAAATGTTGATAGCATCACTAATAAACTCATGTCCATTGACTAATGAAGAAACAGAATGTGGTTTGTCCATAAAATGCCTCTGCATGTGGTGCCGGCACCCCACTTGAGCACCAGTTGATTCTGGTTACTGTAGTTCCTGTCCAGCTTCTTGCTAATGTGCCTAGAAAATTCCCTGCACGTAGGATATATCAAGATGAGGCTCTTGGCTTTGGCCCTGCCCGGCCCTGGCTTGTGCATTCATTTGGGGAATGAACTAGCAAATGGAAATTATTTTTCATAATTTAATATAAATAATACTGAGATTGACTCAGTAATGTTTTCCATGAAAAAATGCTGTGACTTCACGGCTGCATTCCACCAAACATTTACGTAAGAGCCAATGCCAGTTTACCCTATATAATTTTTACAAAACAGAGCAAGAGAATTTTTCCATATACATTCTGAGACCAGTTCTAAAACCAACAGACAACAAAAAAGCTGCAAGTCAGTGTCTAGACTCAAAATCCTCAAAAACATCCTAGGAAATTGAACCTAACATCCCATTAGACTTTATTATTAGCAGTTGGGACACACCGCAAAGAGGGGAGTGTAAGGATAGTTCAGCCCACGTAAATCAATAAACTTTCACATGTACAGCAACAAAATAGAGCAGAAACTAAGATTATCACTGGATGCAAAAAACATTTGATAAAAGCACTCATTGTTAAAGCTGTAAACAGCTTAGTTATGGAAGGATTGTATGTCAACCTAATAAGCTATTCATAGCAAAGCAACGGCTCAAATACTGAGTGCAGGGAAAGTTCCAGACTTTCTCTCCATATCTGGAACTCCACAAGCATGTTCATTTTTATTCAGTATAGTACTTGAAGGCCTAGCCAAAGCATTTAGTCAAAGAAAAGGGATGATCCAAATTGGAAAGCAAAAAGGCTGCTACTCTTTGCAACTGACATGGTTTTGTAGTAAATTCACAGTTGCACTATGCAAAGTCAGAATGCAATAGTTAGCGCATTGCTGTACGCCAGTGGTACAATGAATGAAAAATTAATGCAATCCTACCTTGAGTAACTACAAAAGTAGAAATAACTAGGAACAATTTTAACTTAAACTGTGAAACATTGAAAAAGACCAAAGAAAACACAAATGATAAGACAGCCCATGCTGATATTTTAAGAATCAATATTGGAGGCCAGCACCACGTGGCATTGTAGATTAAATATGCCCCAGCTTGCAGTGATGGCCAGTTCAAGTCCTGGCTGCTCTACTGCTGATTCAGCTCATTGCCAGTGATTCTAGGAAGGCAGTAGAAGTGACCCAGGTCGTCTTACGTCCACAAAGGAGATTGGAATGGAGTTCTGAGCTGCTGGCTTCATCCTGGCCACTGGGGGGGTGACCCAGTGGTTGGAAGCACTGTCACTCTGCCCGTGAAAAATGTAAGGTAGTTAAAATATCCATATTATCCAAATCAACCTAGAGAGTGAGTGAGTTCCTTATCAAAATGCTGTGAACTTTTTCCAGTGAATTTAAAAAAAATCTTAAAATTCATATGGAAACAGAATCTCCAAATAAAGCAATCTTGAACAGAAAGAACAAAGTGAAAAGTAGTACACTATCTGACTTCTAAATATATTACAAAGCCATGACTCCCTCCCATCCCTAGTAATATCGGCGTGTACTGACATTAAAAAAAAAACTAATGGAACTGAATCAAAATAACACACCCACAAGCCAGCCGAACGTCCGTAAAGGTACTGCGAGCACACACTGGACAGGATTTAAGTGTTCCTGGGAAAATGAGACAGCCACATGCAGAAGAGTACAGTTATCCTGCTGTCTTTCACTATAAGCAAAAGTCAACTTAAAATGAATTACAAACCTAAGTATGAAACCTGAAACCATGATACCACTTTAGAAATTACTCCTAGAGCATTGGAACAGACAGGGATTTAGGCCTGAGACCTCAAAAGTGCTGGAAACGAGCAAAAATAGAGCATCTTATCTTGGGCAATGAAGGAAACAGAATGAGGAAACAATATTTGCAAGCGATACATCTGATAAGAAACTAATATCCAAAAGAGAGGAAGCTCAACTACTGAACTGCAGAATGTGGCTGTAGGTAACAGTAGCTCCAAATAGTCATTTCTCAGTGAGTAACAGCTACGTGAAAAGTGCCAGTATCACTAGTCAAGAAAATCAGAGTTAAGAAGTGCTGGTAAAAATGAGAAAAGGGGTGGGGCGGAAACTCATATATTCAGTCAGAGTATAAAGTAAATTAGTGAAGTAATATGGAAGCTCCTTAAAACTAAAAATAAAACTAATTCAGAAGCCCCATTACTGAGTATGTATTTTAAAAATCTGTCAGACACTTGTCATTGTTACTTTGTCTCCTTTCACAATAACATCAAAGTCTAGTTTTATAGACCTAGATTTAGCCATAACCCGTATCTTTATCACAGAGTCCAGTAAACTATGCTGCCTGCAGGCTTCATGTATGTTTTATCCAGATTTAAGATAGGCAAGAAAATTAGGAATCTGTTGTCTTGATTTCATGTTTTACTGATGTAATAACTGCTTTCTCAGTGTACTTAAAATTTGTGACTTCAGTATTCAATATCTGGAATAAAACTTATCTTAAACCAAAGCTGCATAACCGAAAGAAATACCAAGTAGAAATTTCATAGTCTGTACAACTGCAGCTGACACGGTCTCCTGCTGGGAGCTTAGAGGTGGGAGTCATTCCTTCCTTTTCCATGGTTATGCGACGCGTATCATGTGGTGATCTATAAGGTACTGATGGTTATTTTTAAAGAGGAAAAAAGTCAGCTTTTTATAGTAATGTTATGTTTCTAACATTATAAACTCATGCTACCTTTGTTTTGATCACTTTGGTATTATAGGATGAACTTTGAAGATAAAGAAAAATAAGCACTGCTCAGAAGATAGAATGTTAATACACTCATGGTGGAAATAAACCAGTACTATAATGGTGTGTAACTACACTGAGAGCTGTACAACACTGGTAGAAATGGTGTGAACTTTTTCTGTAAAGGGCCAGATTATAAATATTTTAGACTTTGAAGACTGTTTGTTGCATATTCTTTGTTGTTGTTTTATTTTTTAAAACAGACTTTCATACATTGTAAAAAATTTTCTTAGGGCCATATAAAAATGGGCCCAAGGCCAAATTTAATCCATTGGCCATAGGTTGCTGACTCTGAAAATGATGTTTTGGGTTCCTGGTTCTACCACAAGCCTTCTCTGCTATTGTCTACGCACATATCTAAGAAATACAAAGTGAACTTTTTTCACTGGAAGTATTGTGCCTGGCCTAAAATGTAGTAACTTGATTTTCAATCACCTGTTGTGAAAATTCTGACTACTTTTTATTTTTAAAATGTTCACATTGTACAAAATAAACAGATACCCTGAGTTCATGCTGTATTAAATGAAGAGATTCTACATTGTTTTGCATTCATTTATAAAGGTTCAAATTGGTAACTTCATCACAACATCAGTTGTATAAATGATTGCTGTTTCATTAGAGGTAAATGTATAGCGATTAACTGGGCTTTATCAAGTGTCACAAATATCAGAGTCTCTATTTTAAGGCTATTTGTTCATTATCTTCCGCACATACTTTCATAAGTGTTCCCCATACAACAGTTGGCTTTTGTGTAGCATCTCATTTACATTTTTACTATCCAGACTTCATGCTTTGACCTGTATCTTACTTACATTGGACCAGCACTATGAATTAAAAATAATCTCTATTATTAAGTTATGAAAAATAATTTTGCAAATTTCAGTGTAGGTCATGATGAGAGGGATTATTCCACTATTTTTCTGTCAGAGGCTACCTTTATCAGATTAATATTGCATAACAAGTTATTTTTATAAGCAAATCAAGTATGTACATCTAGGAAGGGGACTTCATTTCTGCATTATTCAGACTCCAAAGAAAATCTTACAATTGTGAGTAAAATGTAGTTGTTTCATTATGATTCAGGGTATTCGGAATGATAAAAATCCCACTTCAGAAAAGATCAGTGAATAAAAAATTGATTTTTCCAAGAACTGAGTAGGATTATGCTTTATTGTGTTTGGAACAGTTTGTTTTGTTTTTTAGGTATCATACTCTACATTCCTGTTTTTTCCCCATAAGGATTATGTAACAGCTATTTTTATACAAAAACAGACATTTACTCTTAATTCTTTGTTCTCTCCCATGTTTTTCTCTTGTATACATTCTTACCTCATCCAGGATTCTGCTTTGTCATACAAGCACAGACACCACTTCTGACCTCACACACCAAGATTGAGTTAAAAGTGATAAGACCTTTCGTTACATTTTTAAAGCCTGAAAAGCTATTTTAGAGTTATTTCTGTAAGAATCTCAAAGTAGAAGGCCTAAAGAAGTCTGTCTGGGTGCACAGGTGTACCACTATGCTCGACTTGAGCATTCACATGCAATGTTCAGATAGGGTTTCTTACGCTCCCATTCTGTAATTCAGTTATGTTTACTGAGTTAATAGGTTGTAACATTCATAGTCATGTTTCCTATACTTAGTAGTAAAGGCCCATAGTGGGTAAGAACTATCCTGTAGCTTGCTAAGTTGTACGGCACACACTCTAAAGCCAGGACCCCCACCTCCCCAACCCCCAACCCAGGACTCACAGTGAGTAATGCATTATGGACTGACATGAGAAGACTCTTCTGCTGCCTAGAATGTGGAAGGGTCTTTCAGAACTGCTGAGCGCTTTAGATTAAGGGGCTGCATTGTTGCTGTGGCGTCCTGGTAAGGAACATGAGGTAAAATGTGCCTTTTGGCAGACCAGAGGACATTGTAGCAGAACAGTTAAGCTGTCACCTGCAATTCCAGCATTCAGTATGGGTACTGGTTGCCCCAGCTGCTCCAGTTCCAATCCAGCTCCCTGCTAATGCCCTGAGAAAGCAGCAGAGGGCAGCCTACGTGTTTGGGCACCTGCACACACATGGGAGATGAAGAAGCAACTCCCAGCTCCTGACCCAGCCCCCGCCATTGTGGCCATCTGAGGGGGATCCAGCACATGGAGGACACATGTCTCACCCTGTAACTCTGCCTTTGAAATAAAAAAATATTTTAAATGAAGAATTTGACCCACTTGAAGTATATTCCTGTATAAAAATTATTTGCATTCATGCTTTGGGCATCGATGTTTGCCTATCCTAATTGCCCAAACTTTCTTCTTCCACAGCATATGGTTAAGATTTTTAAAAAATGGTTGTTTTGTGTAACTTGTTTTACAGAATTTTCTTTTGAAAATGTATTTGCTTTCTGGCATTGCTCAAAAAATTTCCTTGAAGTAGTCCTCTTAAAAACACATTTTGTCCTGTGAAACCTTTACCAAGATGTTTGCTAGTGTAGCAGATTTTAATGAAGGGAAGATAGCATTTTTTGGCAAATATTTTAAGAACTTTGGTACAGCATTTAGGCTCCATTTCTAAGTCTTCCACACAAAAACATGCCAAATACATTCACTCCATGTTAGAAATAGCACCAAAACTAAATTAACAAGCATGCCTTTTAAATTATGACATCTATACTTTATTCCTAAAGTGAAAATTCTTAAGGTGAAAATACGCTACTTTCTGCATAAAGTGGAAAATTTATATAGGCCCAATTCTTCATGAATAAAACTATTTGCAGTAAGATAAATAAAACTCTGCCTACCAAGCTAAGTGTAATATTGATCATGAATGAAGGCATCAGTGATTTCTGGCTTGAGTCATTTTTTGTTTAACAGTGGATTTGCACTTAGATTCTCATGCTGCCACCAAATGGGCTTTCAGAGATGCCCTTCAGCCTTCAAAGTTCTAGCTCGCTGACAGCCCACGTGTCGCACTGGACTCACTGACAAGTCACTTGAGTGTGTTCACCTAGTAGCTGCTTCAAAAAGGTCTGTAGTAACCCATGTTGACCACTAAGGGGAGAACTCCTCTGCATTAAACAGCTGCAGTGTGAAGCATTTTGCTGGAGAGGATAAAATATTTTTTTTAGAAAGAATAGGTGTTGGGTTTCAGAATTTATGAACTTAGAAAGGAAATGCAAGGTCTGACTGTATATATTAGCAAATGGTAAGACCCTGGCTAACTAAGGCAATTAACCAGCAAAAAGCCCCATGCATCCATTGTAAGTATCTTTCAGTTCAAACCACTACTAAAAGAAAATTTGTAAAATGTCATCCTTTTGATTTATGAAAATGTAAAGCAGGAAAATTATTTTATTTTAAATAAAATTAGATTTATCTTTACTAGTCCCTAAACCCAACTATCTGTATTTCTTAAATGACCATTACTTTCTATTTGGGAGGATTTAATAATGTGCAAGGCTGGGGTTTGTGTTTTTTGAACTTGGGACAGTCATTTATTAAAGGACTAACAACACTGAAAGGTAACTACAGTGATTTTATTCATGCCTTAGCAATTCATCTGAAACAGTGACCAGAGAACTCAGGATTGAATGCCACTTCAGAAGGCCTATAACCTAAATCAAAGATTTTGAAAAGTTAATCTGCTTATGACCTAGCAAATTACTTGTCAGTGTATATTTTATAATAACCAGAGATGTATTTAGTTAAATACTACTATTAAAGAATTAGTAACTAGCAGTTATGATTTCACTGTTATGCCTTAAAAATTATAGCTGATTATCATGATAAACACTGAGACTAACACTATCATAAATGCTATGGTAACTTAGATACAGTTTGGCATTATTAAATGTAATGCAGCTTTACCTATCACAGTACCATTTAGTCCTGCAGAAAGTTCTTAGAACTTTTATAGCTTCCAACTTTTTTCCCCATGTCGAAATCCTTCTGACAGGCTTTGGTATGATTTTCAACAGAAACAACATCAGGCACCAACAGAGGGCAGTGAAAAATAAGCAGGTATTTTAATACTTGGAGAAAATATCATTTCTCCCTTAAATACTGCTCAAGATTCACAACCGCATTTGCCTTTGTTATTTTATTGAAAAAGAACAACTGCTTGGAAATTATAAAACAAGCTGCTTTGCATCCACAGGTTTATTATTTGGTATAATAAATATACAAGAAATACTGAAAAGTACACTGAAGAAATTAAAACATGCAAATAAATTATAAATTAGCAAAACTGCACTGGTGATTTTTCATTATTTTCTAGTTTTTAAGTGCTGCTTTATCAGCTAAGAGACCCAGACTCTGGACCTCTTGGTCTAAGAAACAGGTTTCCAGGGCCCAGCGCGGTGGCGCAAGTGGTTAAAGGTCCTCGCCTCGCACGCCCGGGATCCCATATGGGCACCGGTTCTAATCCCGGCAGCCCTGCTTCCCTTCCAGCTCCCTGCCTGTGGCCCGGGAAGGCAGTCGAGGACGGCCCAAAGCTTTGGGACCCTGCACCCTCGTGGGAGACCCGGGAGACCCAGAAGAGGCTCCTGGCTTTGGATTGGCATAGCACTGGCCGTTGCGCTCACTTGGGGAGTGAATCATCAGATGGAAGATCTTCCTCCCTGTCTGCTCTCTGTATATCCGCCTTTCCAATAAAAAAATAATAAAAATAAATCTTTAAAAAAAAAAAACAGGTTTCCTGAGTTCTAGTGTTTTAACTCGAGGACTTAATCTTAGTTGGGAAAATCACTTGCTCCATATTAGGACCATGATTAACCTGTTTGCTAAGTACATCATGTAGTCATGTATTTTAAAAAAGTAGGGATAAGTATTTAATCTCGCTGTTCAGATAACAGTCAAGGTGCCCAGATGTACCTGGCTCTGAGTCCTAGCCCCACTCCCTGGATTCCACCCATCTGCTAACACACCCCCAGGAAAGCAGAGGGCACTGCAAGAACTTGGGTCTGTCCTAGCTGTTTCCCCCGGGAATCTTGAAATCCTTGGCTAATGGCTTTGGCTTCCCTCAGGCCCAGCCACTGCAGCCACTCAGGAGTGAATCAACACATGGGAAATCTTTCTGTCCTTCTCTCCATCTATTTGAAACACACAGGCGTGCGCGCGTGCACACACACACACACACACACACACACACACACACAAATGTGGAAAATTGCGTAAGACAATCTGCAATGAAAAAAATTGCCAGAAATACAGCAAAGGGAGGTAACCCCTAAATTCAAGGAATTGAGGAGGGTTTTGATCGTATCAACCAAAAATATGTAGACTTCATTCAGATCTTGATTTGAATGAGCTACAAAAAAAATCAAGAAACAGTGGGGAAAATAACATACTTTATATTAATCAATGAAGGTATTTCAAAAAATTTACAGGGAAAGTTGTATTCTAAAGGTAAGTTTATTTGGATGCAGGAAATTTTGAAATTAACGAAGAAAAATCTTTCATGAAATTAAAGATTGTTTTTCAACAATCTTTAAATGACTTTATTGAAATGTCCTTGTTTG